TTTTTTTTGTATTTTGAATTTTTTCAAATGAAAGTTTGACGGGGGTGGGTTAAGATTTTCTTTTCATTTTTTTCTTGTTTTTGTTTTTAACACAAATAACACTTGAACTCACTGCTTTTATTTAAAAAAATATAAAAGTATTTGGAGGAAAAGAAAACTCAGATCCTTTTCATAACCTGTCCTCAAGTGTAACACCATCAACAGTTTGGTGTGTAACATTTTAGATCTTTTTCCTTGCGGTTACATTAATGTATGTATGTTTACACAGGTCTTTTTAAAAATAGTTTTGTTTTTTGTTTTTGTTTTTTAACATAAACGGGATCATTCTGCATGTATTGTTCTGCATCTGTTTTTTACTCAGTAACATGTTAGGGGATCTTGTCATGTTATAAATTTATTCTTTTTAACCGCTGCATGATACTTGATTATTACAAATGGTGCTTTGTAACATCTTCAGCATCTCGATCTTCCTGTCCTTGTGTGTTTCCTCAGTGTAGAAACAGGGAATGGAATTGCTGGTCGTATGATAGGTTCATTTTAAACATAGCATTGGCTGCTGCTTCGTTGTACATCAGAAAGGGTTTATACCAATTATTCACCTGTGTCTGCCTTCTTATATCTAAATTTAGTATCATTAACTCCCGTACTTTTGCCAGAGGTAAAAAGTGTCTCATTTAAAAATTTGCATACCCCTGTTTACCGGTATTGTTCAATTTCTTTTATTTTTTTTAAATTTTTTTTATTTTAAAGAGTAAAACAAGGATAACATAATTATGGGGGGAGGCTTACCAAATTACAGACAGAGTGGTAGGAAATTATCAATGGTTATTGTTTTACATATTGTTATCTACATCTTTTTATGTTTTTATTGAGCTTTCTGTGAATTGATTATTTGTATCTGTAGTCACTGTTTTCTGTTCATTTTTTTTTTTTTACATTTTTCCTTAGTTTTAGGAATGCTTTATATATTGTGGCTATTAATTTCTAATTTTACATATATTTACGTAGAGGTTGGTTTTAACTCTGCTGTTTGGTCATACAAAACTTTATATTTTTATATAGTTAAATTCTTAAATCTTTTTCTTCAGGGTGTCTCTGGATTTTGCGTCTCATTAAGGAAGGCCACCTCTCTTCCAAGAGTATATACGTTTTTACAGTAATTTTTCATGGTGCTTCTAACTTTGCTTTTAATCGAATTTTCTGTATGATGTGAACTGCAGATCTATTTTAATTAGAATTTTCTAAATTGCAAGTGACCAAACCAGCTTAAGCTAGCGTAAGTGAAGAGTCCTTTTACTTAGCTGATGTCACTGTGCAGTCTGAGCCGCCCTTGTCTGGCAGAACTGGACCCCAGGTATCATGACTCTGTCTTCCTCTCTTTCCCTCTCACCTTTGGATCTGCATATGTTTATGTTTTAATTTCATTCTCTCCTAATACAGACAGGCTTTTTCCAAGTGGCAGGAAAGATGGCACCAGCAATTTATATTCATATCTTTTCAAGGTCTGTGACAGTATGAGTTGTTGGCTCTGAAGGCAAGGCCCCTACTCCTGCTCCAAATCAAAAGTCCTTGAGGAAGGAATTTGAGTGGCCTATCTTGGATCTATTGTTCTCATCCCTGTGGCCAGGGCAGGCAAGGTATTATGATTGATGACTCCAGCAAAGTATATGATTGGAGTGGGGTAGGAATGGTTTTCCAAATGAAGAGGGATTCTGTGAAGGTAGACTGCGTAAATGTCCACAACTCCAGCCTTCGATAGCGCAGCTCATACACATGCACTCTCATTGGATCCCGTGCATACCATTCAGAAATGCCTTTGTCTAACATAGTACACAGATCTCACCCACAACTAAAACTTCCAAACACCTCTGTCCCACAGTTACGCCCAGTAGTTGTCATTGTATCTTGACCTAAACCTAGCGTTTCTGTATGCTGCGCATTAGCTGTAACAGTTCTGGGTATACCTTGGTCTCATGATCTGAGAGCCAAGTTACGAATTTAACTTCCTACAACACTCGTTATTCTGATAGTGGAGGTGGTCTTTGATAAACCTGGGAGGATGGCGAGAGTGAGCAGTGGGAAGAGGATGAGATTTCCCCTTTGGAGGCCTTTCTGTGTTAGCAGCCCAATTCCTGCTGGCTTTGACTAGGTGCTGGGAATTGCTGTAGAGTTGAACAGTCATTCGTCCCAAATTGGCGGGTTTGGAGTTTTTTCTGGCAGCACTTGCCTGCAGGTTCGTAAGTACCTTGCTAGCTGCATAACTTGTGCCGGGTGTCCCCTGGGTAGGCCAGTAGCTCTAGCCTTCAGGTGAGTAGGCTGTGCGCCTGGCGTCCTTAAACCATGAGCTATAGAGACTAGGAGGGAGTGGATGTGTACTACGCTGCCGGTCGCAGCGATTCACTCCTTTTTAATAAGATGAATGCAGCCCTTGGGCCAAGGGTGTTCAGTAAAGACCTCTCCTTTGACTCCTGTTTTCTACCTGTCTTACTCTGGGGATGAATTTCTCCTTCTTATTCGCACTAAACAGAGCAAGTGGCACAGGATTGATTCTGGGCGGTATGAGTTGTTGGCTCTGAATGGAGGGGCTGCTTTTGAAAAGTTCTGCACTGTTCCTTTTTGTCTTCAGGAAATCCAGCTTGGACCAAGTGATGTCTCTGAAGTCCTTATTAGTGGGCATTACAGATGGTTGCGAGAAGTGGCAACCTTCAGCATCTTGACATAAAACTTCAGCCTGTGTAGAGTCATAATCTGAGACCCAAGAGATAATCACTGTCTGACCAACCTTACTTCCACACGTCCAGGGTTGCCAGCGTCCAGTCTGACAGGACGAGGCCCCCGGTCACCCCACTATATCTTCATTTATTCAGTGCCATAGTTTTGAGTCAAAATCTTCAAATACTCTACTAGATTATTAGGACTTTGTGGTTTTGACTGAAAGCCATTAACTTAATGAAGCAAAAAAGGAGCTTTATTGACACAATTGAAAAGAAGTACCTGGCCAGTGACAGCCAGGTGCACGATTGGATCCGGAAGCGGAGGTTGAAGTGTGTGTTCTGTCCCGCCTCCTCTCCCCGCTGTCTCCCTCACTCTCTTCTTCCTTCGCTGGGCTTACTGTTTCCTGTTAATGACATTTTTCTCCACGTGGGAGGAGGAGTAGCCAGCCCCTAATTTACACCCTTCCTGCTCACTAACAGAACAGAAACCCTTTCTCCCTGTCCTCATTCACAAATTGGAGTAGGGTGCTCGCTGGCTGAACGCATGGCGGTTCCCGGGACAGTCACTGTGGCAGGAAGGGGGTGCTCTGTCTGGCCACTTGGGTCCTGTTGTTGACCCCAAAGGCACGAGTTACTTTATTTATAGCCCTGGCAGAGTCATGATTAAAGTCTGTGTGGGGTGGGGTGGGGATTTCCCAAAGGAAAGAGGGTTTTGAAGTAGATTAAAGGAACAAATATTTACTAAATTGTCTACTCCCCTTAGAAGAAAAGTGCACAGCCAGTTTTCCAAAGCCCGTCTTTATCTCTACTCACTTAAAATGCCATCTTTGCAATACGTAATGTAGTAAATCCTTTGTCCTTTCATTTACACCAGTGCCACACTGTATTAATTTTTTTAAAGCTTTAAATTAGAAAAATAAAAAAGTAGATCTTGTTTAGCTGTTTGGCCAGTGGGAATTGAACAGTTTCAGTATGTCATAGACATTTTCAGCCAAAGTGAGTTTCATGGATATACAAAGCAGAAAGTGCTCCTGGGGTGTTGAATCACCTTAAAAAATTAAATTACTTGAAAATACTGAGAGATCTCTATTGTATTAAAAAGCTTACTTAGTTGATGTTTACATTAATAAGTTTACACAGATAACTTCTCTAGGGGAAAATTCACTTAGCACTTACGTTTATAAGGTCAAAACTATTAGGTACTTAAACAGAATTTCAGAGGAAAGCTTTCTAAAATTAATAATATCCTTTTAATAAAGAAATCCAAAGCCGGGCGTGGTGGCGCACACCTGTAATCCCAGCACTCGGGAGGCTGAGGCAGGAGGATCCTTGCGAGTTTGAGTCTGGCCTGGGCTCCAAAGTGAGCTCAAGGCCAGCCTGAACTGCATAGTGAGACCCTGTCTCAAAAAGACAAAAAAAATTGAATATGTAAAGTGACATTTTGAGTTATTATATTTGTTACTTGTAAATTTGTTCTAGCGCCTCCTGTCTTATAATAGATAAGTTTCAAAACATAACCTCACACATTTGTATTTTTTTGTAAAATAATGACTCACATAAGGTTCTGAAATGTTTTAAGTAAAACACTTAAGAATTAATGATATTTGCTTTGGCTATTCAAGGACCTTACCTGTTTGCTTTCTGGATCTTAGATGTACACCACGTAGGAGTTTTGGATAAATAAGACGCTGTTCTTACTTCCTCGTCGTCAGCAGTTACTCTGTGGCTTTTTCATTTCATAACAGGTGATTTCAGATCTGAGAAGTCTAATGGGGAGATGAGCGATCCTCTTGGAGCTGGGAGAGGAGCCTCTGGCTCCACTCGCATTATCACCCGATTGCGGAACCCAGACAGCAAACTTAGCCAGCTGAAGAGCCAGCAAGTAGCAGCTGCAGCCCATGAGGCAAATAAATTATTTAAGGAGGGCAAAGAGGTATGTTTTTTCTGTCAATATGAGTAATTCTAAGTGTACCTTTAAAATAAGGGTGGAAGCTAAGGACCTACTTTTGGATTGTATTTCTCCTGTTTGCAAGAGTGTAGTGGGCCATGCGGAGAAGGCGCAGCTTGTGTGTAACTGGCCTCGCACACGCCAGTCCGTGCGCAGAAGCGCTGGAAGGGGCTGAGGCAGCGTGACCGGTTTGTTGTATATAATTCTGAAAAGAGAAAGCCTTCTTTTCACGTGGAGTAATGAGTGGATTTTACGTGGGCTTTTGTAAAGAGCTACGGATTGTCCAACCTGCCACTAACAGGAGAGGGCTACCCTTCCCTTGACGGTGCAGCGCGGTGCCTAGGCTAGGGCAGCACAGCACCTCAGCTCTGGCTGTGAGCAAGAGGGTCCGAACCGGCCTCTATCTCTGTCCCTTTCCTCGCTGTGGGGACGGAATAGTGGCCATGCATGTGTCCCTCAAAGTTTTGAGTTACTTGCAGGGTAGATAAGCAAGAATATGCAGTGTTCTTTTTGTAGCATCAGACGAGGCACTTAAATCATTGGCTTTCTTCTGTTCTTTTTTGCTGAACTGAGGAGTGAACCCAGAGTCTTCACACGAAGCTACCTCTCCAGCTTTTCTTTCTTTTTCTTTTTAATGTTCTATTTAGGACTGTGTCTGAATTTGCAGTCCTCTCGCCAAAGTGCCCTGCCATGCCTGGCTTGCCGTTTGCTTTTAAACTGCTATTTGACTCTGACCCTCACTAAGATCTAGATATTTCTTTCACAGCAGCCTGGTTCACATATTCAGTAGCTTCTTGAAACAGCACATACATCACTACATCAGGACAGTTCTGACATTTCCTCTCATAGTCTATCTAGTCTATTTTATTTTTTGTTTGTTTTTTGAGACAGAGTCTCGCTGGCCTTCAACTCACTGTGTAGCCCAAGATGGCCTCGAATTTGCAGCAGTCCTGCTGCCTCAGCCTCTCAAGGGTTACAGGCATGTGCCACCACACCCAGCTGTTTATTTTTTAAGAAATTAAATAAGACTCGCTATTTATTTTATAATCCACTAAAAAGTGGGGACCAGCTTTTCAAAAACATCTTAAAGTATCCATGTGCTCTTATTATACTAAAGATAGAATGAAACAGGAGCAGAAAATGTATGTTTTAGGAGTATATTTTTAGATTATAGTACATGTAATCCTCTCTTGTTTTCTCTTAACAGTGCGTTAAGAACTTGATAGAATGGTAAATGAATAATACATAGTACACATACTTTCACGTATGTATTTGAGATTCATGGAAGTAAGAATTAGTGGGCTTGGAGATGTAGCCTACTGGTAAAATTCTTGCTAGCGTGCCCACAGCCCTGAGTCTGACCCCCACAATGAAAAAATCAGTTACTGAGTAGGGTCTTGACATACAATATTTAAGAAATACTAGTTTTTCTGTTTGCAGGCATGTCTTGGATGTTTAATTATGAGCAGCTTTCACTTTCAGCTTAGCATTTTAACTTCATACAGTTCAGTCATAAAATGTACTTGAACTTCTTTGGGATGTAAATTACAATTATTGAAAGACAGTTGATCAGACGATTTGCATCCTTGGCTGACTTATGAAATCTTTCTGTTTCCTTGCTCAGGTACTAGTAGTTAACTCTCAAGGAGAAATTTCACGGTTGAGCACCAAAAAGGAAGTGGTCATGAAAGGAAATATCAACAATTACTTTAAATTGGGTCAAGAAGGAAAGTATCGCGTCTACCATAACCAGTACTCCACCAATTCCTTTGCTTTGAATAAACACCAGCACAGGGAAGATCATGATAAGAGGAGGCACCTTGCACATAAATTCTGTTTGACTCCAGCAGGAGAGTTCAGGTGGAATGGTTCTGTGCACGGGTCCAAAGTCCTCACCATCTCTACTCTGAGACTCACCATCACTCAGCTAGAAAACAACATCCCTTCACCCTTTCTTCATCCCAATTGGGCTTCACACAGGTAAAAGGAAGGTTAACTTACTGCTGTAAATATACTGTGTACTTACAAAGCTATTACTGTAGGCATGCACCTGCATTTTAAATGTCATCACCAGTGGATTAAGTGAAATCACTTCGGTAGCAAACAGTGATCAAAGTAGAGTCACACGTGTGATTCTGAATTACTAAACCACCAGGAGCATTTGGATGATTTTTGGAAATCAGTCTTTATCCCTGGAATCCTGTAGGGACCAGAGTTTTAGAACATCATAGAAGGCATAGAAGGTAAAGGAATTGGGAAGCCTAAGCGATCTCTGGTATGTCTTGCAGTGTTTAAAATGTGAGGCTCTGTGAGCTAGAAACTGCCGAGAGCAGTGCAGTCCTACCTGCCATCCAGAGACATCTCTCACACGCACCCTAGGATGCAGTCATCGTAAATCACAACTGTTATGCTTTTAATTTAAGATGAACCAAATGGAGTAATTTCTTTTTTTCTGAAATATAGAGCAAATTGGATCAAGGCAGTTCAGATGTGTAGCAAGCCCAGGGAATTCGCATTGGCTTTAGCTATTTTGGAGTGTGCAGTTAAACCAGTTGTGATGCTACCAATATGGAGGGAGTCCTTAGGACATACCAGGTAAGCGGGTTCGGAGCCTTGGAAATGACCAACATGGGACTGTTTTTGTTTTGTTTTTTAAAAACTCCCAGTGGGTGAAAAATGAAAGTTAATGTGTTTAAGAGGTCGTATTAAAGACTTTTCTCTTTGTGGCTTCTCTTAGTTCTTTTTGTGATACAGAATTGTCAAGATTAAAAGAGGTGAGGTATATGAAAATAAAAGTAGTTTCAGAGTTAAAAAGCATGTTGATGAGTACGGTCGTGCTTGCCTGTAATCCCAGGTACTTGGGAGGTTCAGGCAAGAGGGGCACAAGTTTGGGGCCAATCTGGACAAATACAGAAACCCTGTCTCAAAATAAAGCGTGAGCATGTAGCTTGGTCTTAGAGTGTTTCCCTAACACGTACTAGGGTTTGAGTTCAGTCCCCAGTACTGGGAAGGAGGAAGGAAGGAAGAAAGGGAGGGAGAGAGGCAGGAAGGGAAAAGGGCATTTTCATTAGAATGGAAAGAGCACTCAGGATTTTTTTTTAATATTCTGGAATGTTCCAGGTACTATGCTAAAGAGCTCCCTTACAGTCTTGCATCCTTTTTAAGATTTCAGTTCCTGGCCAAAGATGATGCAGCTCTTAAGTAAACCCAGACCTGTGTAACTTTTTTTTCCCACAACAGATGATTTTTATTCTTTTTATTTTTATTTTTTTGGTATTGGGGATCAAACTCAGGACCGTGTGTTTGCCAGGCAGGCGCTTATGCTGCTGAGCTATATCCCTAGAACTGTGTAACTTGAACAGATGATTTTTTTAAAAAGATGACACATTTTGTAACTTGAAAAGTCCTAAAGGATTTTCTAAAAAACTCTATAGTCTTTTAGAAGTTATTATGACAAAACTAATGTACAGATATGAACAAAATGCAAATATTGTTAAAGAATATAAAACAGAACAATTCTACCATCACTTTAGTAGTGTTTACTCCAGTCATACAACCTTGTAAATTTTTTTTTCTTCCAGTATCAGGAATCGAACTCATGACCTTGCGCTTGCCAGGCAAGCGCTGTGCCGCTGAGCTAAATCCCCAGCCCCTAACCCTATAATTTTTAGAAGATAAAAATATTTTGCCTTACTTTTCACATCTGTTTTATTTTATAATAAAAACATTATTAAGAAAAATAAGTAGGGGCTTTGGATTTAGCTCAGTGGCACAGCGCCTGCCCAGCAAGCATAAGGTCGTGAGTTCAATTTCCAGTACTGGGAAAAAAAAAAAAAGAGAAATAAGTAGCCAAGGTTGGTGATGCACTCCTGTATTCCCAGCACTTGGGAGGCTGAGGCAAGAGGTTTGCTGAGAGTTCGAGGCCAGCCTCAGCAATATAGTGAGACTTTGCCTCAAAAAAAGGAACAATAAGACATGTAAGTTTATGCCCAACATTTTTTTAATCTGCTTCCAGTTTTCTTTAGTGAGTTCTCTGCGTAAATTTTTTTGTTGTTTTTTTGAGACAGGGCTTTGCTATGTAGTTCAAGCTGTCCTTAAACTCACTATGTAGCCCAGGCTGGCCTTGAACTCATGGCAGTCCTCCTGCCTCAGCCTCCCTAGTGCTGGGATTACAGGTGTGTGCCACCAAGCCTGGCTTTCCTACATAAATCTTATCCATTCTTTTCTCTTTTGTTCTTCCCCTTTTGAAGATAATTGCTGCTATCAAAGGTCTCCACAAGTGGAGGGGACTTAATCACCCTGTGGCTGTAAACCAGGATTAAGCGGGGTGTTACAGAAAGGTGCATCATGGTAGAAAAGAGCTGAGTGGGGTTTACTTTCATCAAGGTAGAGCCAGGAGAGAGTCAGAGACAGTGCTTCCCGCGTTTCTCTTGCGCCTCCTGCCATTCACCTCCTGATCTGCCCCTCAGATCATTCTGTTGTAATGTCCTCCCAATGCGTGACCCTCCTAACCCACGTGGAGCCTCATCTCTGGTGACACATGCTGCAGAGACGGGAGCTATGCTGAATGTTGTGGAGTAAAACTCCTGTACTCAGCCAGGCGTGGTGGTCCCAACACGCTAGAGGGCTGAGGAAGGAGAGTCACAGGTTCAAGCCCAGCCCAGGCAATAGAGTGACTTAGCAAAACCCTGTCTCAAAATAAAAAATAAAAGAGGGTGGACCTCAAAAAAAAAAAGAGGGTGGGATTTCGCTTAGCGTGAAGGCCCTGGGTTCAACTGCAGGACTACCAGAAAAACCCCACAAAAAACAGTAGTAACAGAACAAACTCCCATAATTAAATGTAAGTTAAAATTATTAAATTTTTGTTATCAAAATTATTAAATTTAAATTGTTGAATTATGAACTCTTGCGTAGATTTCAAATCTTGATCATTGTAGCAGGTGATGAAATTCAGAATTTTAAGTATCCAGATGTTTTTTTCTTTCCTGCTTTGTCATTGTGACTGTCTTCCAACATGTTCCTTAGATTTATAAAGTTATGTTGTAAATTATATTAATGTGATATCTGGTAATACATACGAAAGAACTCTTTAAATATGATGATGGGGTAGGACACTGGCTTTTTTTAAATTGAGGACCGTGATTCAAGGAAATTTGGAATTAGTAATAAGACTTCCACTTCTGCAGTAGTGTATGGTCAACCAGATAAGCAGTAAACTTCTAAAAATGATCCTGAGGAAAACTAGAAGTTTAAACTAACTTTTTATTCATGGAAGTGTTTAAATTGTGACTAACAAGGCTTCAAGAACTGGTATACCGAACATTAACAAAATTTTTTAAACAATGTAAGTTATGGCCTAGAGAGAAAAATTTCCTTTAATAAATAATGCATACGTAAGATTTTATGTAACATCTGTAACCTATAATGGATAATAATAAAACAAATGCCTGTGAATTTACCACCCAGTTTAAAAATAATGACATTATGATTGCATCAGCTTTTTGCTCATTACTTTGCCTCTCCTGAGAGATATTCACAAGTTTAAGGTTTGTGTTTTATTACCTGCTTCCTTTTACTACATAGTTTTATCACATATATGTATCAGTAAACTGTGAATGAGCCGGGCGTGGTGGCACATGCCAGTAATCCCAGCACTCAGGAGGCTGAGGCAGGAGGATCGTTGTGAGTTCGAGGCCAGCCTGGGCTACAGAGTGAGCCCAAGTCCAGCCTGAACTGCATAGTGAGACCCTGTCTCAAAAAAAAAACAAACAGCAGTGAATGGTTTTCTTTTGGTTTTGAGCCTTAGAATAATGTATTATTTTAGAAACCTTATTACATAGACTGGTTGAAAGGTATATTTATCATTTTGTTATACTGTAATCACGAAGAGTAGTGTCACAATATATTCAAGAACTATTACAGTTCAGTAGGACCAAAAAAAAAAGTCAAGCCATTTAATAGGAAACAAAAGGCCAAAGATATAAATATAATTCACTCACAAAAAGATGAAAATAACCAAGAAAAGTGAAGATACCTTAACCTCCCTGGTATTTTGGGAAATACACATTTAAATTAGGGGCGGCTATTGCACGTCGGTTATATTGACAAAAGTTTAGAATGTTGACCAAGATGGGAAGTACTAGGAAGACCTCTGATACATTTTTGATAACAGATCAAGAGCATAATGATTAGTGTAATCCCCACAGAGAACAGTTTTATTAAAAAGTTGAAAATGCAATTCTTGAGCTGGGTGTGGTGGCACACGCCTATAATCCCAGCACTCTGGGAGGCTGAGGCAGGAGGATCCTTGTGAGTTCCAGATCAGCCTGGGCTACAAAGTGAGTTCAAGGCCGGCCTGAACTGCATAGCCAGACCTTGTCTCAGAAAGACAAAAACAAAGGGGAAAAAAAGAAAGAAAGAAAAGAGAAAGTGCAGTTCTTCTATCTAATACCATAAAGTAATGCTTTCATACATACATTGTCCATAAGGAGACATAGAGAAGATGGTTCTTTTTGTTTTTGTTTTGAGACAGGCTCTCCCTGTGTAGTTCAAGCTGGCCTTAAACTAACCACTGGTATGTAGCCCAAGTTAGCCTTTAACTTGTGGCAATCCCACTGTCTCAGCCTCCCAAGGGCTGGAATTATAGGCATGTACCACCATGCATTATGATATTATTTTATAATCATGAAATTTGAAAAAATTCCCGTTATTCATAATCAAGTACATTTAAAAGTTGTCAGCATGGTCGAATCTCATACATGTAAAGTCAAAATATTTCCATCACTAAAATATATGTAGTATGATACCATTTGTGTAAAGGTTTAATGTATGTACAATAATATTGTCTAGGAATACAGACATTTATAGTAAACATTCAAAAAATTCAAGAGCAGTGTGCTTGAACCTTAAATACTCCTATGTAAAATATGATCACAGAGAAATCAAAATGGAAGCTAAAAACACATTTTGATCTAGATGTTCATGAGAGCATTACAGGTACTGAAATTTGTGGGCTGCATTTAAAGAGCTGCAGCTAGAAAGCCTTCAATGCGTGTGTTAGAAAATAAAAGCTGCAGATTAGTTAGCTAGGTGTACAGAGAGTCAGCCAAAACGAAGAGTGTGTTGAACATGTGGGTATCAAGAAAAAAAATTAGGAATACACAAATAATACTGAGAATACTCAAGGGGGCCTGCTGATCAGTATTTCTGATTTTCTTGCTAGTACTAGGGATTGTAAGCCTTCACAGGGTCCTCTTACGTAGTATTCAGGTCTCCCGTGTCCACAGAGAGATGACCCACCCTTCCGTCCTTTTTGGTGAAGGCTGGAACAGAGAGGCCACAGACCTCAGGCCTCGGACAGCAGGGCCTAGCCACACAGGCAGCGTTCCGGTTCTTTTTAGAGGAGAGGGGAGAACCAGGTGGTTTTAGAAGTGAGTCCTTCCAATTTTAGGATCCAGATAGTTCTGTCTAAACTCTTCCAGTGAAATAGAAAAGGAAGGAAATTTCTTGCGGATTACTATTTCTGTTAGAATGAAACTTGATAAAAATAGGCAAGAAGAAAACTGTGGCCCATCTCCTGTATTTGTTTGATTAATAATGTAGAGCAAATGGATGTGTGTGTAACAAATTTTAACTAAAACTTAGTAAATTTACCCAGGAACTAATTAAAATAGTAAACCACTGGTAAATTAGCTTCTCCCTAAGCATAGAAGACTTGCCCAGTTTTAGGAGATTATTAATAACATGGTATTTTGAGAGGTCAAAAAGAACTTTGTTCATCTTAGTAGATGTCATAAAGGTAACTTGTCCAAGTTCATTATTCATAGTTTAAAGAAAAAGTTCAATAGGAATATGTGAAGTCCTTTTTTTTATTTGGGTTTTTTTGTTTTTGTAAAGATGTGTTTCATTTTTTTTTTTTTTTTCCTGTACCGGGAATCGAACTTATGACCTTGCACTTGCCAGGCGGGTGCTGTGCCACTGAGCTAAATCCCTAGCCCTGCAAAGATGTATTTCAAACCAAATCATATTTTTCAGTGAATGCCCTGAAGCATTTCCGTTACCACCGGGTTGCTACAAAACAAGGATGTCCACTGGCACCACTTTCTAGAAAATACCAATCCAGTTTGCCAAGAAAGATGAAATATATAAATATTGGCAAGATACAGACAGGGTTATTATTATGTAGTCGATGCAGTTGTATACTTAAGAATCCCCCAGAACTAAAAAACTATCAGGAAGAGTATGAAAATTAAATAAGGTGGTAACATATTAAACAGCAACGTTCATGTACACCAACAATAACCATGATTAAAATTTGGGTGGAGTTCTGAATTAAAATAAACAGCACATTAATTTTGTTCCTACTGACCCCCTATAGCAAAGGGATTTTTCCCCCATCTGTGCTGGGGATTGAACCTAGGGCCGAGGGTGTGCTAGATAAGTGCTCTACCGCTTAGCCACTTAGCTTAGCCACTTAGCCGTACATCCATACCCTCAAGGTATTTTTTAAAGTTGTAAACCTACAGGGGCTGGGGGGCAGGAACATGGTGGAAGCAGTGATGTCGGTGGACAAATGGTAACCTACTCCAAAAAGCCAAATCCCAAGTGAGAATGTTCCCAGGTTACACGACACAACCCTCAGAGAGGATAAAATCCCGAAGTCCAGAGCAATTCGTTTTGACTCCTGTCTTTGTAGGAGACCTATTTTGCCCTGTAATCTGCCATATACCCTGGTTGTGAGGAGTCCTCTATCTCCCTCGGCTTGCCAGTAATCACCCGCTGACTTGTGAAAAGAGACTCTTGAAAGCTGTAGTCAGACGCTGACCCCAAATTAAGTTTGTTTTCCTATAGACTTTAATAGTGACAGTATTGCTCTTTTGCTCATGCAACTGAGTTTGTGCTTGCTACTAAGTTTTCAAAAGCCAGACTTTTTATCATTTGAGATAGAAACACACCGAGGTAATAAAACTATAAGCAAAAGCAAGAGAATGATGAACACAAATGTCATAGTAATAATTGCTCCCCAGTGGGACACATAAGCTTTATTGTTAAAGTTCAATTTCTTTGTTTTGTTTTTTTTTGTGTGTTTTCTGGTACTGGGAATCGAACTCACGACCTTGCGCTTGCCAGCCAGGCGCTGTGCCACTGAGCTAAATCCCCAACCCCTCAATTTCTTAACTTTATTTTATGTTATCTTTTTGTAATGTAGCACTCTTTTTTTTTTTTTTTTTTTTTTTTTTTGGTACTGGGAATCAAACTCAGGACCTTGTGCTTGCCAGGCAGTCACTGCCATTGAGCCGTCTTCCTAGCCCTTATGTTATCTTTTTAAAAAATATTACAGTGAGAGAAAAAGTCTCAGAAATGGTAACAACAAAACCCTTAAACACCTGGGGATAAACTTAGAACTGAAGAAGTGCTCAGAACTGTGTAAGGCAGTCTTTGAGGGTACTTCGCCTGGTGAATAGGATTTGGTCCTCTGGGTCTGTGGGAGGCGTGACCAAAGTGGTGATGCTATTTCATCTAGGAAGGTTAGTGTGCAAGAGCAGCCACAAGTGGAAGTGGACGTTCAGAGTATGTATTAGCATATTTTGAAGCTACGATGATCCAAATAATTGGTCCTACTGAAGAAGTGGGGCAGTGAAATAGAATAGGGAATTCAGAAATAGACCTAGACTCACCTGGGAATATAGCTGTGGTACCATCGCCCATCAGAAAGCAAAAAGGGAGTGCTTGGGGAAAGTAGCTCTCAGAGCCCTGCGTCATTTATTTATTTGGTACCAGGAACTGAACTCAGGACCTCGAGCTGGCCAGGCAGGCCCCCCGCCACTCAGCCGCACCCCCGTGCTTAGATCCCTACTTCAGCAAAAGCATTCAGACCAAGGTAGATTAAAATAATAAATAACTAAAATCCTAAAAACAAAACTACGATAAGAAAGCATGAATTAATTTATATTTTTGTTGTGATACTTTCTTTTTAAACAGATTTAATACCAGATGTCATAGAGGAGAAAAGTGGATACATGTATTTAAAATTCTGAGTGGAAAAATATTATTATCAAACTCAAAAGACAGATGACAAACTGAGGAAAAATATTTGCACCACAAATGGAAATTTTCCCTAATTGACAGAGATCTTGTATAAATGAAAAGGACTAATAGTCCAATACAAACAAGACAAAGGATTTGAGCAGATATTGTGCAGAAAAATAAATATGAAAGGCCAGTAAACGTAAAAAAATTTCTCTCATAATTAAAGAACAGTGGGATAGTTTTTTGTTTTTTGTTGTTTTTTTTAGCTCAGTTGGCCTAACAGTTTGGAAGTTCGTTACTATTATAACTTGCAGTTTGGGTCGCAGGTGGCTTTGCGGTGATGGTGTTGTGAAGCGCCCATTCTGAGGAGCGGGGGGCACTGTGAGCGTGGACGAGAACTGAGACCAAGCAGGAGAACTCCTGGTCTCAGCTGTCCCGTCACCAAGGAACAGAGGGCTGCTCCCCGGGTGTACCATGGAAGACATAAAACGTTACTTATTGTATCTTTAGTGTAAAGCTGCACGACAGAATCCTGAGTGGTGCGTGGAGGTTAGAGCAGAGATGAGGCCTAGTCCGTCACCTGGTGTAGCTCTCAGGGACTGTGGGTGTGGGGAAGGGAAACCTGCCACCAGCCAGAGGCCACAGTACCAGCCTCGTGAGGCTTCCTTCTGGGACCTTGAGGCTACCGGTGACCGATCTCTGTCCATAAAAACAGAGCTGAACTGCCAAGCTCCCCTGTGTGGGCCATCTTGACCCCGTAAGAATTATCGTAGTGGCAGTGGGAACAACGGAGTTGTACCCAGGGGTTGCCACAGATTAGCTGTAACACCACCTCACTGGCCTGGAAGCCCAGGCAGAGTGAGCCTTTGTACTTGCCAGTGAGAAAGGGCCTTGTGGGCAGACACCGAGGGCCCGAACGGAGCACGCTGCTGAGCTGTGAGCTCCCAGAGTGTCACTGTACTCCTGGCTAAGCCAGCGAAGGTGGTCCTGTCCCTGTGCTTCTGTCGAAGGCCTGGACCAGGCCTTCGAGGGTCGTGACCCCCAGGCCCTGAGACCTAGTGCTTGGGCTTGTGTTGCTCCTCACACGAGGCACTGCTTGCTCCGGGGCTTGCTTCACTCCCCACCTCCAGGAGTATTGGCACAAGGTTGATGTTTGAACTAGTAAGTTAGTTCCCGGTTAGAATCCGTCCCCATTCTCTTTCCATCAATTTCAGAGAACTTCAGGAACCTTATGGGGAAGTTCGCTATGCAAATTGTCAACAGTTAATAGGTGTGAGCGCCTCCCCTGGAGGAGGCTGTGTACGGAGCTGCTCTAATCACAAGTATACAAAACCGTAAGGGGGAAGAGGGAGGAAGAGCGACAGAGGGAGGGTTTACTGGGAAACAGAGATAAAGGCATTACATCCCTCCCACATCTTCGCAGCACCACTACCTCAAGTTGACAAGTGGTCTCCATCAGTTCCGCAGAGCTCTGCCTGAGAAACTGAGTACATCCGGTTTGGGCGGGGTGAAAGCGGTTCTAGCTCCTGTTTGTGTCTTGGTTCATGCCTCTTTTTATGGGAAGCGCCACTATTCGTATAAAACCTAGTCTAAGCTAAAGTTTGATCTCCCACTCCTGGTATTTGTTTTCCTGCCTGGTAGTAGGTTATGACCTGTACCTTATCTCTAATGATTGAAATGATTATAGAACTCTTTCCTGACCCCTCCTCTTAACCAGAAGGGAAAGACACACGGACTTCTTTTTCGGTGGCTATTGAAAGCCAGGATGCTGTTAGTGAGCCCTGTGAGGTCTTTTGAATCTGCATTGCTAATGAGAAAGAATCAGAAGTAAAACAAAAGCTTTGGATCTGTTTGTCTTTATGGTATGGAAAAAATTCTGGAAATAAAGTATCCTTTACTAGGGGACTGGTCCGATAAATTACAGGCTGCGCATGAGTGGCATATTTCTTAGATTGTGAAGCAAGATCTTTGTATTCTGGTATGGAAAGATCTCCTACTACAGTTACTGATGGGTTAAGCACTGGTTCTGTGTACACTGTCGGTACCCTGTGTGGAAATGGGAAATGGACAAGCTAAGGAAATGTATGTGTATGAAGCGTTGCGGGAATGAAATACAAGCGCATTTCTTTTGGGGAGACGTATGGGTAGGATAGCATTTTTTATTTTTGCTGTTTTCTACTCTCTGTTCCTGTTGTGGAACTGTACGTCTGCTTCTTGTCCGTTGGTAATGTCTGGGTGATGGGGTGGTAACTAACCACTCTTTGGTTTTGTTTCTGATTTTCAGTATTATATTTTACCTTTTCTGTTTATTATTCAGTGTTAAATATAATTTCTGTTTTGCTGTCCATGTACAGATTACACAGAATGACATCAATTGAAAGAGAAGAAAAGGAGAAAGTAAAAAAAAAAGAGAAAAAACAAGAAGAGGAAGAAACAATGCAGCAAGCTACATGGGTCAAATACACATTTCCAGTTAAACATCAGGTAATTTTTACCATAACCTTTTTGTTTTTGTTTTGTCTGTTTGTTCTTGGTACGGGGAATCCAACTCAGGACCTTGCGCTTGGCAGGCAGGCGCTATGCCACTGAGCTATGTCCTCTGCCCTATGGTAATCTTCGAAGAAGTATTATCTGTTTCTGAGACTTCTACAATTTTGACACTTTATAATTTTGTTTTACTTCTGACATAATCTTTTAATTGATATAACTAGGTGGAGTACAGCTTTCTGATGATTTTAGCAGCATAGATTTGTTTTAGTAATATAACAGGGCTTGCGACCAGTTTTTTGAAATTGTTATAAAATTAAAACTTTGTTACATTTCACATTTAGAAAGTAGTAGGTGTAAGCTGGAAATGTGGGACACACCTGTAACCTCAACAGTCAGAGGCTGAGGCAGGAGGGTTGCCATGAGTTTGAGGCCAGCCTGGGCTACGTAAGTGAGTTCAAGGCCAGCCTGCACTACACAGTGAGATCCTGTCTCAAAAAGAAAGAAAGTAGTAAGCTGTTTCATACATTTTTTTTTTTTTTAAATTTTAAAGAGTAAAACAAGGATAACATAATAATAGGGGGGATTTAGCATATTACAGACAAAATGGTAGGAAATTATCAATGGTTATCGTTTTACATATTATTATCTACAAAACAGTTTCTCAGGAAAACAAATAGACAAATAATAGTGAGTTACAGACAAAAGAGGTAGGAGATTATCAAGAGTTGTTGTGCTATACTTTGGTATCTTCAAAGTGGGTTTCATACATTTTGATTCCCCACGAAAATGAAAATGATTGGTAAATTTAAATAATTTTCTGCCCGTTACTCTTGCTTGATAAATGTGTAACAGCACACGTGCTTCATAAGCATGCCGTTTAATAAATGTGTTCTCCTTTATCCCAGGTTTGGAAACAAAAAGGAGAGGAGTACAGAGTAACAGGGTATGGAGGTTGGAGCTGGATCAGTAAGACCCATGTTTATAGGTTTGTTCCTAAATTGCCAGGCAATACCAACGCAAATTACAGAAAGTCCGCAGAAGGAGGTAAGTGCTGTTTTAACAGTTACACGTAACATACTATTTCTGGCAATAATTTTTTTTTTCCATATAACATTTCTGATTTGTATTTTCTTTTAAATTCATAGTATATTGGCCACATTTTGGATAAAAACTATTCTTCTGAAATTTTTAATATTATATGCAAAATTACTATTGTTTGCCAATTATAAACTTTGAAATATAAAAAGTTACTTTTGTTCACAAGATTTTGCTGTCTAGGGTTCACTTAAAGATGACAGAAGGGAATTGTTTTCCTTTAAATCCCATAGCCATCTAATTGCAGTGTTTTTCAAAATTTTACGTTTCATACTGGTTAACTTCTTGAAGAGTCACATATCTGGAAACATTGACATTATAGTAGTACATGACACATCCAGAGGGGAAGTGATAGGGCTTATATAACATGGTCACATAAAGGAACTGTTTATTCGGTTTTTACTACTTGCTAACAAGCCCTCATATTTAGAATTTCGGTGTTCTAGAGGTGAGTTGCCCTTTTGAGAGAGAGTGTATTTTTAAACTCCTGTTAGATGAGCAATTACTTCATGAAGTTGGTAAGTGACACTGTGCACTTTCTGTAAAGGACAGGAAGTGAGCCAACCCTGGCGGAACCCATGTCGCCTAGCTTCTGAGCCCCTGTGGCTGTCTGCTGTATGGTCGTTGCCATCCAAGTGATTTTCAGCAGCAAGCATGTATGCTGTATAATGTCATTTGCTGGTTTATGCTGTGATGTGTTTTCTGATGAAACCTGCGTGGGCAGGTTATAGTATGTGTGAGAAATAGCACGTATGTTCCTCTACTAACAGGTTTAGCCTTGTGAATGGGTCTAGTGAAACATGGGCTGGTAGATGTGTGACATTGTTACTGTGAGAAAGTTACTGTTTTATCTCTAAGTAGAAGTCCATATTTATAAGGGTCTCTGGAATTTATAGGCTCTGTCTTGGAGCATCTTAGACATAGTAATTGTTATATTTCTATTTTGAAGATAATATTGAAGATTCAGTTGTTACTATTTAATTCATGTTAAATATCAGCTATAGTAAATTTGAACAGATCATTATAAGTTTCTTTTATTAACTGTTTTGTTCCAGTTACCCAGGTAGCACTTATATTTATTGAGAGCTCCTTATTTGTATAATCCAGTTTGACCTATGTGATAAAAATCCAGATGATCAGTACACAAATTATTTTTTGCAGATTTATTTTACAGCCGCTGCCCTTAGCATAGAGCTTTCCATTGTTCAAGTACTAGACCTTTCTTTATCTAGTCAAGTACTAAGTTGGTGTTTTTGAGACTTTCCTCCCAAATACTGTCAGAGGATAAAGCAAGTGTGCACACTGTCCGGTGCTCTGGGCTTCTCTAATTATAATTTCTTTATCTATAATCACAGTGAAGGCAGCAGTAACCACCAGTTAATAATGTCAGAACTACAGTCACTAAAATAATGACTTAAGGTACTCTCAGCACTAACCTAGTCTGATCTGGTGATGGAGGTGATGAAGGCACAGATGTACTAAATAACCAAACGAGTACAGATCACAAAGCTCTGACTTAATGTCGGGAGGCCAGACTGGTAGCCCTGTTTGTGTACTTCTCCCTGGTCCCTGGTATAGCTCTAAAACTGCGCATTTTTGTTCCACAGTGTGGTGTAGTCTCCAGTAACATATATGTATGAGATACTATGTCAGGAAGAGCTTTGGGCTGGGGCCGAGCTGGGGATCACAGGCGGGGCCTCATGCGTTTCCGAGCAGGCTGTCTACCACTCAGCTAAATGCTCAGCTGCAGAAGACCTTTAGTTTAGGGGAAGAAAACGTACAGTTGTCTATTCGAAATAGCAGAGTTCTTACAGCTTATAGAAGGGGCTACACTGCTAGATAAACTAATTGAGCAATTTGAATACAAGAAAGTATATGGTGCCAGGTGTGGTGGCACACGTCTGTAATCCTAGCAGTCAGGAGGCAGAGGCAGGAGGATTGCTTTGAGTTTGAGGCCAGCCTAAACTATACAGTGAGTTCAAGGCCAGTCTGAACTATATAACAGCGAGACTTATCTCAAAAAACCAAATAAAATAAAATAAGATAAAAATAAAATAAGAATATATACAGTACTTTCAGCTTTTATTTAAATGAAAAATAATAAAATATTACTTACTAGAAAATACTTGATCATTTCCACTAAAGTAGATATGCTGAAGTAGATTTCTAATATTGGATGTACCTATAATTGCTGTATATATACTTGGTTCTTTTTAGTCAAAAGTAATGTGGATGAAAACATGGATGATTCAGATAAAAGAAAAAGTCCACGAAGTCCAAAAAAAATAAAAACAGAGCCTGACTCTGAGAAAGCCGAGGTAAAAGATTCGGATGCTGGAAAGGGAGCAGATCAGAGTGAAATGGAGATCTCCGAGATGCCCGAGAAGAAGGACCAAGGTAAGGAGTGCCAGCTACAGGGCAGCCTGGGTATCATAAAGATGCTCTGGGTCCATTGCCCACAGGGTGGGTGTTGAGTTGTCTCTATTTGATAACATTTTAATCAAAACATAATTCATGTATCATATAGTTCACCCAGCTATGGTGTAATTAGTGGTTTCAGTATATTCAGAGTTGTTCACCTATTACAGAATCATTTCTAGAACATTTTCTTCATCCCAAAGAGAAATTTCACACTCACTAGCAGTCGCTTTCAATCCCTCCAGCCCACCAGTCTGTTCTCTATCTCTGGATTTGCTTTTATTTGTGTTTTGTTACTGTTATTTTGTTTTGGGCTGGGCTTGTTTTAGTTTTGTTTTGGTGTTTTGTCTTGGGTCAGGGTCTCGCTCTGTTTTTCAGGCTGGCCAAATACATATCTGAAATATATATTTTTAAGACTTTCGTGAAATTTAAAATGCGCTTACCACCTGTTAAAATTGTTTGAGGAATTTTAAAATATGTAGGTATTCCTTTTTAGTGTGGAATAAGAGAAGGAGGTACTTTTACAAATAAAGTTCTTACAAATTCCTCTTTTTAGAGTAAAAATTACGTTTATATAAATGTCTTTATTTTACAGATGTAAAAGAACATTTGGATTCTGACAATGATAAATCCTTCAAGGAAGAACCAATGGAAATAGATGATATAAAAACAGAGTCACATATAACTTACCAGGAAAGTTCTCAAGTAGACGTGGTCAATGTCAGTGAGGGTTTTCACCTAAGGACTAGTTACAAAAAGAAAATAAAATCATCCAAACTCGATGGACTTCTTGAGAGGAGAATTAAACAGTTCACACTGGAAGAGAAACAGCGCCACGAGAGGATGAAGTTGGAGGGAGGAGGAAAGAGTCCAGGAAAGTCTTCTCCGAGCGCTTTGAAGAGTCTTTCGGAGTCTCCAGGAGCAACAAAAGCGAAAGAACAGTGTCACAGCGACTTGCGTACACAAGAACAAAACCCCAGCACAAGGAGCGACGGACCAGAGGACTTGATCCGTGGATGCTCACAGAGCGAACCCGCAGTTCTCGGAACTGGTGATCCTAGTCTTACCACGAACAAACTTTACCCGAGAGATCAAATGTTAGATGATGTCTCCATTCAAAGTCCAGGGACACACTATCAGAAAGAAAATTCTGTTGAAAATGACATCGATGAGAGTCTCTCTGAACCAATCAGCAAAGACCAGGAACTCAGTAAGATTAAAACGAAAGGAAGTGGTTTTTTCATTGATGACTCGAAACCGGTCGCTGGAGATGATATTGCTACTTTGATCTATAAGAGTAAAAAAGCATTCCGCCAAGAGGATAATGACACCACTGTCTCTTCGGAAAATGTTTTGCTCCCATCAATACCTAAAAGTACCAGGGACAGAGATAACTCATCTCTGTCAAAAGCAGTGGACTTGGATGGAAAATTGGGCTGTGACTCCGAGTATAATAGCACTTTAGAAAATAGTTCTGACACTATGTCTATTCAGGACAGCAGTGAAGAAGATATGATTGTTCAAAATAGCAGTGAAAGTATTTCTGAACAGTTCGTAACTCCAGAACGAGGTGCTGAGAGCCTGGAGCCGTTGAAATGTGAGTTTGTTTCTGATAAGTCCACTAGAAACTGTGATAACAGGTTACAGGGTAAGGTAACTGAAACAAATGGCAGAAAACCAAGTCTCCAGCAGAAGTTAGAGAGACCAGTTAATAAGTGTATTGATCCAGTAAGTCTTAAAAATATCACTGACAAAAAGAATAACGAAAATCGGCCTGACAAGAAAGGACAGAAAGCAAGTTCATTTCAAATAAATGGAAAAGATAATAAACCTAAAGTGTATTTGAAAAGTGAATGCTTGAAAGAAATCCCTGAAAGTAAAGTTGTAAGTGGTAATGTTGAACCAAAGGTTAATAATATAAATAAAATAATCCCCGAGAATGAGATTAAGTCATTAAGTGTTAAAGAATCTGCTGTAAAGCCATTTATTAATGGTGATATTATCATGGAAGATTTTAATGAAAAAAACAATTCAGTAACAAATTCATGTTTACTAAGTTCTTCGGATGCTGAAGGTAATTACCAAGCCAGCCTCAAGGCCCTACCGTCAGCTAAAGAGTCTGACAATAAACAGCGCAGCACACCTTTATCACCTTGTTCAGAAAGCAGTTCATTTCATCAGGCAGAAGAGATGGAAGTGGACACTGCAGAAGTGAAGAAAGCTACTTTATCGCCAGTTACGTCTGGAGAGGAGTCTAACCTCAGTAGTGACTTTGTTGATGAAAATGGGCTTCCCACCAACAAAAATGAAAACATCAATGGAGAATCTAAAAGGAGAACGGTCATCACAGAAGTCACCACCATGACATCCACCGTAGCCACAGAATCAAAAACCGTGATCAAGGTTGCAAAAGGTGATAAGCAAACTGTGGTCTCTTCCACAGAAAATTGTGCCACATCCACTGTCACAACCACCACAACGGTAACAAAGCTGTCCACACCCTCCGCGGGCAGCAGTGTGGACATCATCTCTGTAAAGGAGCAGAGCAGAACCGTGGTCACCACCACGGTGACAGACGCACTCACCACCGCGGGAGGCACCCTGGTCTCGTCCATGACTGTGAGCAAAGAGTACTCCACAAGAGACAGAGTAAAACTGATGAAATTCTCAAGACCGAAGAAGACTCGCTCAGGTACAGCTCTGCCGTCTTACAGAAAGTTTATTACCAAGAGCAGCAAGAAAAGCATATTTGTTTTGCCTAATGATGACTTGAAAAAGTTGGCCAGAAAAGGAGGAATCCGAGAAGTCCCTTATTTTAATTATAATGCAAAACCTGCCTTGGATATTTGGCCCTATCCTTCTCCTAGACCCACCTTTGGTATCACTTGGAGGTATGTACTTTAAAATGGATGTGGGGGAGTGAGAATATTTTCAAAGAATTAATCTCATTTTTTTAAAAAAATCTCTTTTTTATTACAATGGAATAACAGATTAAGACAGGAAAGCATGTTGTCTTTAATAGCCAAAGTTAGAAGATCCAGAAAAATCTCTAACTTGGCCAGCTAATAATAAAGTTTACTTAGTGAAAAACATTTAAAGACTTAAAATGTAAGGGAATCCAGTGTCAGCTTTCACAACACAAAGGAACATGTCAAATCTGGTTGTTTTTGTGATCTGACTTTCCAAGTTACTTGTCCTGCGAACAAGATAACTGCAGAATTTTATAATCACCGATGTTCTAAAATGTTTGTATTTTATATCTATTAAGTGATTCATTAAAACATAAGCCATAAACATGCCTATAAATATAAAGTTCCTCATGATGTGGAAATCTTCCTGATGTGATTTATTTGCATAATGAATGCCTGTTTTGGAGCTCCCTATTATTTATGCAAGAAAGGGCAGACTCTTAAGATTCCTTAGGAATTTTTTGAAATTCCAATAGTCCTGATTTTAAAATTTCTGGTTGTGGGGATGAATCATAAGTATATAGTTTGGACAGTTACAAAATCATGTAGTTTTACGTTGAGAGGGATCTTAGAAATTTTTAATATATTGTACATGACCATGTACTGCAGAGGAACAGGTAGAAACAGTGCCTAGTTTTCCTAAATTCCAACCTACTACTTTTTCTGCAGTATCACATTTCATGTATTTGTTGTTGCTTTTTTCCCTTTTCATGTTCTTGTCCCTCTCTCTCTCTCTCCCTCTCCCCCTCTCCCCCTCTCCCCCTCTCTTTACTCTTATAATGAAAAATGACAGAACATAAACATTGAAAACATGAGTTTTGGGACCATACTTGGAAATCAGGATCAGTCTTAGAGGAGATTAGATTTTTCTAGATTCCTGAAATTATTTCAGCAAGTTGCTGCGCAGAATTCGCTTCTGTTAAGACTACATTTCTGTGTCTTTTAATGTGTTTTAAGTTAAAATCACACTTTCTTTGTGTCTTTATATTACAATCGGCTAGTATCAGGAAAGACCGAAAAAGAATGTAAGTACTCTCTGTAAAGGAATTAATTTAGTAATGCAACCAGTCATAGTTGTATGACCAAGTTTTTATAATTCATCTTTTGATTTGAAATAAAATATCATCACTCCATTACACATTCAATAGAGACAGCTGAAAAGTACAATTTCTCTGCAGGGCCTGCAATGAAGGATTTGCAGAATCCTGCAGGGAATCAAGGAACTCTTCATTACAGTTCATGGATTTGTAGGATTGCTCTGCACTTTTCTGCTTTCTTCATTGAGAGCGGTCCCAAAATGTATCCTTGACTGTCCTGCAGGTAACTTCTTTCCCACTGGAAAAGTTACTGTGTACAAGTATTTTAATTCAAATGACGTGGCAGTTAGGAGGCCGGCCTTTCTGCTCTTTGCTATTTATTCTGAAGCGGATGCTGGGCTCACCTGGGAAGCGCTTGCCCCTGAACTCTTGAGGAGAAAGCCACCAGTCGTAGTCACATGGCTCTCAGGGCCTTTCTCTGCACGGCCCGGTTTCAGGAGTTTTATATGTTTTAATATGCTTTGTGGCACAGTTCAGATCTATTTAATTTCTCATTTCTAACAGAAAGGAATACCTTCCTTCCTTTTTTTTTTTTTTTTTAACTAATTACCTTCAAATGTATTCTGACATCTTAGTTTGCTGAAGTTGAAACATAGTCTCCTCTGTCTAAAGGAGGCACGAACAGATACATAAGCTATTCTTGTCTTTAGAATACTTTCATTTAAAAAACATGCGTGTGAAATGCATTTTTACACTAACATATCAAATAGGTTTGTTCCTTCGAGTAGGAGCTAAGCACGCCAAAGGCGGGTGTGTAATGTTTACTAATGTGACATGAAGGCTAAGCGGGATGGGGACAAGAAGGGAAACTCGCCTCTTCTCCCTCCACACCACCCATTCCCACATGGCCCTTCCCGGCCCCTGGCTTGGCTTTACTGTTTTAAACTGGTAGCTGTACCCCACAGTGCTGCCGGAGTGGTTCTCCTCGGATGCCAGGCTGTCCTTGGAATATTCTGAGTTTGCTGCGGGACTTGCTGACTGCCGCAGGGAGAGGAAGGGAAAGCACCTGTCACCTGCTGACTATATCTGTGGGAAGTATTTTCCTTTACAGCCCACTGCAAGCGGAGGCCTTGGTATAAACATAGCATTTAGTGCCCTTCAAGCCCGCAGACTGGCGTGGCGCATTCTAGCTGCTCCCTTCCTTTCTCATGCCGGCTCCATCTCTTTCCGCACCTGTACACCCCTCCACCCGTAACACACCTAGTGTGCTCCCTGGGAAGAGGTGTGTGCTCTTGCACACTTGGCTTCTTAATGTATTTGTGCCCTTGCCCTTCAGCCAGCCCCCCTCACAACCACTTCCTGTCCTTTGAGCCCTGGCAGTCCCCTCATCGCCTTTCCTCAGCCACACCTGATGTCTCGCCCCTGTATTTTCTCTTGTACGGCACATTGAAAACACAGAACCAAATTCTGGTTCACTTTTGTGTCCCTCACTCCTTTCACAGTCTTAAGCCATAGAAGGCATGCGCCTATTTTTTAAGTGAATAAATGAGTGAGCAGGCTGAGAATCCAAGAAGTGTATTCCTCCCCTGGTTTTCAAAATAAAGATGCTGTCTGACCATAGAGAGTCCGCTGAGCACGAAGAGAGAACAGAGTGAGCTCTCGTTTGTACTTAGTAATTATTTGCTTTCTTCCATGAGACAGAAGTTCTCTAGGGATTTCCACAGGGTGTCCGCAAGTGACAGGCGCTCTTCCCCTCTGGGCCCTCCGTGTGCTTGCTAACGTGTCCCCCGATAATTGAAGGGTTGCGCTGTCCAGGTCAGATGGTTGACAGGCTGAAAAGAGGGAAGGAAACCACGGTGTCATAAGCAGAGGTGGGAAGTTAGGAAGCTGCAGTCACTTTCTGGATAGGGCTTTCCCTTTCTGGCGTCGTTCTTTTTTTCACCGTAATGCTAACTTGAGAAAGTTTTGCCTTGCAAATGCAAAACTGTCTAAGATTTACTGTCAGAGCTGGGGAGGTGGCTCGGTGGTAGAGCTCGTGCCTTGCATGGGTTTGATCCCCAGCAGCACAAGGGGAAAAAAAAAAGATTTACTCTCTACTGCATTAGTAGAGGAGATTATTTTCATTTTATGGGTTTTCATTATGGCTGTAGTCAGCCAATAAGTTCATTTACATAGTAGGAAAATGGCAACAAAGTATTTAGTTATCCAAAGAGCAATAAAGAATTGACAGCCTGAGACTGCTTTAAAATGTCTTGAGTAAATCCCACTTTAGGGCACGATATTCATTGCAGTTGAGTAGATTCATTTCAAAATGCATTTCTAATATTATTCTTAAAAGAATATTAAAATATTCAACTTTACACACAATGCTCAGGGAAAAACATGAACACAGATTCCTTTTTCTCCTGATTACTAACTAGTGTAGCATTGTACTTCTTTGTAACAGTGTTTTTTTTTTCATGCATTGTAGGATCCCAAAACTATACCAACTTCGTTAAAATATTTTTGCATTTCAGTATTTATCACCCAGTAGTGGATGCTTTGAAGGACCACTATTTGGATACAAACTTTTTCTTCCCATTTGAAAACATTTTCAGTTTTGTTTTTTAAGAAAAATGTAAACATTTCTTGAGGGTTTTTTTTTTTTAAACCGGTTTCAGTAAAAGTTAGTCATGGTTTTACCCTTTACAACTCATTTCTCACATTTAGTAGCACATTTCTCTGTATTTGCTCTCCTTCCTAACTTTTAAAACATATTTTTGAATTGTATTACGTTATAAAATCTTCATAAGTTGTTACCATACCAACCTTAAAGTGAAACATGCTCACTTTACATATTTACATGGCATTTGAAATTCATGTAGCCCTTTTCAGAGTTGTCAGGTACATGTTATGCCAAGAATTAAAAATTTTTCTTTTAAGGGACCTATAGTGCCAAAACCATGTTACAAATACTGAAGTTGTGAGAATCAGAAACAAAATCATTGGGTTTCTGAGAGAGAATGAAAATGGGAAGGAGTCTGCGCGCGCGTGTGTGTGTGTGTGTGCACGTGTGTGTCATACATACATGTATACAGTCCTCTTGGGTTGTTCTTTCAGGTATAGACTTCAGACTGTCAAGTCCTTAGCGGGAGTGAGCCTGATGCTGCGCTTGCTGTGGGCCAGTCTGCGATGGGACGACATGGCTGCCAAGGCTCCTCCGGGAGGGGGCACTACCCGGACAGGTAAGGGGTTATTTCCTTATTTAAACTTTAAAAATAAAACCATCTGACTGCTCACTTAGTTTTAACCATTTCTAGCTTTAAAAAATACTGTTTTGCTTAAGTTTTGGCACATACATAAAATCTTGGGGGGCACAGGGAAGGCCTAGATTACAGAGTGAGTCACACAAATGGACAAATCTAAGTTACACAATGACGTTGTTGGGCTAGGGATATAGTTGACTGATAGAGTACTTGCTTGCTTGTACAAGGCACTAGGTTTGATTCCAGTACTACCAAAAACAAACTCCACAAATACATAATTAAATGATTTTGTTTTGTTTTGTTTTGTTTTTTGAAACAGGGCCTCAGTATGTAGTTCAGGCTGGCCTCGAACTCATGGTGATCCTCTTGCCTCAGGCTCCTAGTACCGAGGTTACAGGTGTGCACCAACATACCCAGCTACTATTTTTGTAGAATACAGTCGAGTAAACTGAGATTCCTAGAACCCTGCACTTGTTGCGTCAGTCGTAGGGTTTTTATTATTCTGACTGTTGCCAAATGTAGCTAAGTAGTGCCCTGCAGGAAATCACTCACTTGAGAAATTTTCCTTGTGGAAGTCAGCCACGGTGGCACATGCTTATAGTCCCAGCACTCAGGCAGGCGCTTGCGCAGCTGAGCTATATCCCCAGCCCAGTCCCAGCACTCAGGAGGCTGAAGCTGGAGGATCACTGCAAGTCCGAGGGCAGCCTGAGCTATAAGGTGAGTTCAAGACCAGACTGAACTGCACAATGAAACCCTGTCTCAAAAAGACAAAAAAGAAAAAAATTCCATGTGGAAGAAACAGTATTGTCGCTGTCTAGCAGTGATCCTGTAGCTATTGATTTATGAAATATTTCTGGAAGTTTACTCCATACATTTCTCTTTTTTAAAGCACCAGCTATTGTACCTTTTTAGTCTTTGAGTATTTTAAGTGGTTGTTAATACTGTGTGAATTAAATCACCGTAGAAACATCTGAAACAGAAATCACAACAACTGAAATAATTAAGAGGCGAGATGTTGGTCCTTATGGTATTCGTTCTGAGTATTGTATCAGAAAAATCATTTGCCCCATTGGAGTTCCAGAAGCACCAAAAGGTAGGAGATCAAAAAATTTGGTTCTTTTGCTCTTGTGACGTGCTAACAAAAATCTTTTGGGGATTGAAATGTAATAATTGTTTCCTTAACTCTTTATTCAACATTTGTAAAAGGTTTTTTTACTATAAAATGCTGTGTTTTTAGAATTATACTTAAGTAGGGGCTGGGGATTTAGCTCAGCGGCAAAGCACCTGCCTGGCAAGCGCAAGGTCATGAGTTCGGTTCCCAGTACCGCAGAAAAACCAACCAACCAACCAACCAAATAAATAAATAAATGAATGAATGAATGAGTTCGGTTCCCAGTACCGCAGAAAAACCAACCAACCAACCAACCAAATAAATAAATAAATGAATGAATGAGACAGACAGAGTTATTTAGACAAGTGAGAGTTGGCAGTATATTGTAGTGGTAATTCTGTATTTTCAGAAAACGTGTAAAGCAAACTCCTCTTACCCTTTCTTTTTCTATTATAAAGACCAGCTTTTGGTATTTCATTGTTACTCAGATCTATTTTTAAAATAAAATTTGTTCTTCATTTAAAAAAAAAAAAGTTATTCAGGAGACATTTGTGTGCACCTCCATGATAGATAGGCACTGGGTAGCAGATGCGTAGGATAGTCACCTTTTTCTCCAGGAAGCAAAAAAGGTTATCCTTATAACATTATTAAGTTTTAATGTGGTACAGTAAGGTAAGAAAGATTAATAAGTGGGAAATATTGGAAAGGAAGCAAGATTAACACTTTTGCAGGTAATTATGAATGTTGTCTAGAAAATTCGTAAGAATCAATGTATTCATGCTAAAAGGAGTCCAGGCTGAAGCCTTCTAAGTAGACAAAGGTCAGTAATTGTATATGAACAATAAAAATATTGGGGAAAAACCTATTAAGAAATATATGAAAACAGTGTCTTTCAGTAGAAACACTTTATAAAAATGAATTCTGCCTAGATGCATGCATTTCATTTTTAAAAATTTATAACACTAACTTAGGATTTCATCTTGGTGTATAAATAACAGAGAACAGCCTTTTTGAAAGAACACCAATGAAGTGGCGCCTGTCCTAGTAGACAGTGATCTATTAGCACACTTAAATCAGCGTGTCCTGGAGTAGAAATACACAGCCCAGTTGAAGGGCAGAGATGCTCATGGAGGGGACGCTCCCGACAGGCCCTCTGTCTCGGAGCCCTGCAGCCTGCAGTGCACGCGTGTGGTCTCGGGAAGTCACTCCTTGCACTGTACGATTTCGTGCAGTCCCACTCCTCCTGCGTCCAGCGTCCTTCCGCCCGTCTCTGTGAATATGCTGCTTCTCTTTCTCTGAACGTGGGGATGCTCTACCTCTGTCTCTCCCTACTTACTATTTTTTAATCTTATCACTAGGAGATTTTCATCTGTTCTTAATTTATCAATTTCATATCTCTTTACATTGAGTAGCTACAGTGAACCCTGTCAGTGCTGAGATGGGGAAGTACGTACTGGCGTGGATATGTGTAGTGAGCACACCCGTCCTGGCTGTGACAGGAGTATGCTCGGTTTTGAAGGAAGTTGTATTTTTGTTGGCATCTGAAGGATGAAATGGTTTTAGTCAGATTGGAGTGGGGGGTCGGAGTGGAGTTCCAGGCAAAGGAAAGGGGGTCATTTAAAGGCCCATAGGCCTTTCATAGCACAGGTGGGCCGGCAATGACCCACAAGGCTTGGCCCACTGCCTGCTTTTGCAGGTGAAGCTTGATTGGAGCACAGCCACACTTGGTTATGCCCTGTCTTTAGTCTCTACTGTAACCCAGAGGCAGAACTGAACAGCTGCAGAGGAGACCACCTGGCCTGCATGGTCGAAGTAATTTACACCATCTGACCCTTTAAGAAGAAAACATTCACCAACCAGTGCTTTTTGTAAAGTTAGAGAGAATGTCAGAAGTATTTAATTTTAAAAGCTATATTGTTCAAACCACTCTTACTTCTCCAAAGAAACGCCTACGCCTCAGAGGAAAGGACTCCGATCAAGCGCTCTGAGGCCAAAGAGACCAGAAACGCCCAAGCAAACAGGCCCTGTGATTATTGAGACCTGGGCAGCAGAGGAAGAGTTGGAACTGTGGGAGATCAGGGCATTTGCTGAGAGGTAAAGAAGCGCCTAACACATACATAGTCGGATATTTGAAGCTTTTAGTATTTCAGAATTAAAGAATGATCATTTTAATAATTTACTCGGTACATCCTAGTTAATTTTACTCTCTGCCTTTTGATTTTTTTTTTTTTTTTTTTGCGACAGTCTTGCCATAGAGTTCAGGCTGGCCTTGAGCTCACTGTGTACCCCAGGCTGGCCTCAAACTTGTAGCAGTCTTCCTGCCTCAGCCTTCCAAGTACTAGAACTGCAGGTGTGCACCACCACGCCGTTTCCACCTTTTGATTTTTAAGTACTATCTGTGAATAGTTTATTAAGATCTTATTTATCGGTTTCTTTTCATCGGTTCTGGGCATTGAACCTGGGGCCGTCACACTGAACTATATTCCCAAACTCTTTTTCACCTTTGAGGTAAGGTCTTGCTAAATTACCCAGGCTGGGCTCAATCTTCCCATCCTCCTGCCTCAGCCTCCCGAGTGCTGGGATTACAGCCGTATGCCACCACGCCCGGCCATTCATTTGATTCTAATTATCTTAAAAGTTTATTTTAAAATGGAAATAATTCCATGCCTTTGTGTCAGCAGCCTGTAACCTTTTTGGCACCATGGACCTATTTTGTGGAAGACAATTTTTGAGGGGTGAAGGACTGGTTTGGGAAGATTGAAGCCATGACATTCGTTATTACTGCATTGTAATATATAATGAAACAGTTGTACAGCTCACCACAGTGTAGGATCAGTGGGAGCCCCGAGCCTTTTTCCTACATGTAGACATCCCGTCTGGGGTTGAGGTGAGATGGTTCATAGTAAGGTTCAAGCTGCTACGAGAATCTAAGGCCACTGCTGATCTGACAGGAGGTGGAGTTCAAGGGCTAACGCGAGTGATGAGAGCAGCTCTAAGTGTGGACAGAGCTTCACTTGCTCCCCACCTGTGGCTCACCTCCTGCTGTTCCGCCCATTTCCTGATGGGCCGTTGGTGACCCGGGGTTGGGGACACCGTTCTGTATGATACGAGTGTCAAACAGATTTCATTTCCATTCAGTGCCAGATGTCTGATCAATTGGTTTCTGATAAGTTGCCCCTTTTTTTCTTACAGAGTGGAGAAAGAAAAGGCCCAAGCAGTTGAGCAGCAAGCTAAGGTTCGTGCACGGACGGTGGCAGAGGCCTTCATATCCAAGTGGAGGCCGCCCTAACACCTGCGACTATTGGCCTAGCGGGAAACCCACCTGACAGCGAGCTTACATTTGTGGTTAAATTCAGGCCCACCAAAAACAGTGTAGCTGTGTGTTCTTGTGGGATTTTTTTTAAAGCATGCCTTACATATAACTTTATTTCACTGCTTTAAAAGAGCTTTATGGGACGGTGGCTGTGGGAGATTAGGGCATTTGCTGAGAGGTAAAGAAGCACCTAATTGATTTATCTTTCAGTTACTGTAGATTCTCTTCCTCACTTAAAGTTTGAGAAAGGGGCGGTTTTGCGTTCTATACCTGATGTTAGCTGTCACAGGGAATTTATCCCAAATCACAGTTGCCTGGCTATGTTGCGGTGCGGTGTCTGGTTTGGTCTGGCTTGGTTTTGGTAGTAGGGGTGAAAGCCAAGGGCACTATACACAGGGCTACATCCTCACCTCTTGCAGCTTGCCCTTTTGAGAAGTTGCCCAGGCTAGGCTTGGACAGGATCTGGACATCGTTACACCTCAGCCTCCCAGAGAGCTGAGATGACAGGTGTGCACCATGCTGCCCAGCTGCCTGCTTGTTTTGTTTTCTGTTATTGGGTTTATTTTGTCATTTGTGCAATGTAACCTAGTGTATTTCTTCATAAAGTTTTTGGTGAATACTTATTTTTAAGTAGCCAACACATACAGTTTTGAAGGTGTAGCTACCAAGTAAACAAGTATTAAATATGTGGATTTTTTTGGTTGAGTGTTCGTTTGTTTTAGGGGTTCTGAGAATTGAACCCAGAGACTCACACATGCTTGGCAAGTACTCTAGCTCTGAGCTCCATCCCCAAGGTCTTAAATTTTGAAATAATGTCTCACAGAGTTGCACAGTCTGCCCGCAAATTTATGATTCTCTTGCCTCAGCTTCCCCAGTCACTGAGATTACAGATGCGTATTGCACCAGGCTGCCTTTCTTATTGTAAACTGACTCAGCTGACATCTGTAAGTGTCCAAAACTGAAGGCCGTCTGTTATGAGGAGTAAGAGATCATGCGGTACCTCACCTGTGCTCAGGTCGGGTGTACAAAGGAGTAGAGTGATTGGGTGGTGATGAGATAGGTGAGCCACTTGGGATGGCAGAAGACAGTGCGGCGTCGGAGCTTGCTGTCCGCAGACTTCCTAGTTCCCCCTGAACTGGCTGTGCGGCCTTGCCCCCGTCACACGGCCTCCGAGAGCCTCAGGCTCCTCATACTTAGTTACAATACCAGCAACTTTCGGGGTTGACGGGGCATTAAGTAAAATAATAACGATAAAGCATCTGTCACCGGGTTTGCAGTAAGTTCTGCCTGTTATTTGTACATGTGTAAGCTTGTGCTTGTACTTATCAGACCACCATTGATACACTGTTAGAAAGTTCTGCAGGTTATACTAAAAGATGTATACATTATCTTTAACCTGTAGTTTTAAATGTCATTATACATTCTCTGTAAAATAATCTAATGTATTTTTCTCCTGTTCAAACTGAATAGTATTGTCTAGAAAATTTGTTTCAGTATTTCATCTTGTTTAGTTGAAGTTCGCCAACCTGACTAGCAATATTAAGTAATGACGTGCTCTTCGTGACTGGATAAAGTAACATAATGCAGTGAAACGGAAGCCTTCCGGAGCGCCCACCGCTCGCTGTCTGCTCTAAAGTTTACCGCTGAGCAGCACGGTGTTCCTGTCTCTCCAGTATGATTACCCGCATCTCTGCTGTTTTCATTCTAAAACTTGGGATATTTGCAGCAGCCAGAAAAAGTTTATTATTTTCACTTTTCTGTGGTGAACAACTTAGTACTTACAATGAAATAAATGTGATGTAGACACCTGAAAAGTACTGCGTTCATCGGGACATTAAAATCCAGGGTGGATTTATGTAGTCACATTTTCTTTTAAGAAGTAAATATCGGCTCAATGTGCTGGCCCATGTCTGGAATCCCAGCACACAGGAGGCTGAGGCAGGAAGATTGCCATGGCTTTGAGGCCAGCTTGGCCTACATAGTGAGTTCAAGGCCAATCTAACTACATAGCAAAACCCTGTCTCACAAAACAAAACAAAAAGTAAAGGAGGGATACCTTAGAAATGTAGTGCAGTTTCTTACAGTGAGAGAAACTGGGACTGGACTTTATATTTAGAACTCTCTTGGTTTACGTTTTTTCTCCCCGACTTCTTTAGAAACGATTGGAGCAGCAGAAGCCTGCAGTCATTGCCACTTCTACCACAGCCCCAACAAGCAGTGCGCCCAGCACTGTCTCTGCAGCTCAGAAAGTTATGGTGGCCCCCATCAGTGGCTCAGTTACTACTGGAACTAAAATGGTACTAACTACCAAAGTTGGATCTCCAGCAACAGTTACATTCCAGCAAAACAAGAACTTCCATCAGACTTTTGCTACATGGGTTAAGCAAGGCCAGTCAAATTCAGGTACACAGCCGTGATGAAATAAAACATGGCTTCCACTCGGGAAAAAGCGTTTTCAGCCCTTCACCTACTGAAATGAAACTTCTCTTGAGAAAATTGTCTTCCTTCTGCAGCTGATTGACTGACTCAGCTGTAACCGTTGGTTTATTACAGATAATGTTCATAAATTACATTAGAAAAGCTCTTCTCTTACATTATTTCACCTATAACATCTACATAGTTCACTTTGAGTGGAGAGGAGTGTTTTTATTAAAAATACAGAGTTAGCCACATTTCGTGCATTGGTGCCCTTCCTGGAAGTCACTACGTTGCTGGTTATTTTAAATCTAAAGCTTATTAAATGTCTTATACCCCATTAGCCACCAGCACAGCTGCCACATCTGCTACAAGCATTGCCAGCACAGGTCAGACGTTCCAAATTACAGGCAGTCCAGTCCCCATGGCAGGAAAAGTAATTACCAAACTGCCACTTCCTGCAAACAGCAAGATTGTCGCTGTAAATGTGCCGGCAACGCAAGGAGGTAAGGGAAGTGTGAAGAGCTGTAATTCACATTTGCCAGATCATGCTGTTGCCATTATGTCATTTCCTTTTCACTGATTCCGGTCCTCGGATCTCACATTCTATGTAGTCCACTATGAACCTGCCACACGTAGTATCTCAGAAACCAAGCAGCACTTAATGTACTTCCTTAAATGGGACACTTGATAATTATTTCCTCGTCTTTTTTTAAGGTGTTGTTCAAGTGCAGCAGAAAGTCCTGGGTATCATTCCATCGAGTACAGGTGCAAGTCAGCAAACCTTTACTTCATTCCAGCCCAGGACAGCGACAGTCACGATTAGGCCCAATACCTCAGCCTCTGGGACGGCCACCAGCACATCACAAGTAAGAGCTGCGTGCCGGGCTGGGTTTTGAAGTGTGAAGCACATGAGGTTTGAAATGGCCTCCACAAAAATCCATCCAACTAATTTTCCTGTCTTAACTGTGACAAAGTACTGATTTGGTGGGGAAAATCTACTCATCATTTTATGAAGTATTCATCTTTAAAATTTCCTTAATGGCAGGTTAGCATAGTTTAATAATAATTATGTCCTAGGATTTTATAAGGAAAACGTCACATAAACCAATTGGCAGTACTGGGTCATGCAAGGAAACGTGCTGTGCAGCCTAGTTAAGAAGTGGAATAAAAAATACAGGCTGTAATACGCTAACTAGTCTCTTCGCAGCTGATATATGCGGATATGAGATGTACTGGCTGTAGTATTAATTTTCTGGAAAAGGTCTTAAAGTTTTGCAGACATGAAAATGTTCAGACCCTAACTATGAAACTGAAGAAACATGCTCTGTAGACTCCCTTTTAAAACTTGGAAAGAACATTCAGTTCCTCGCCTCATTCTTACCTTCTCTGGGTTGCCTATACAGATTGCAACTTGGAGAAAAAGGGCGCAGCATTGTCCTGTGAGCAGTAGTTACAGAGCAGAGAGTCTTCTCCTCCCCTTTTAGTTTGTAGGCTGTCTTTGGTGCCACTGGCAGAGACTTTCATATGATCCCATTTGAAGTAAAGTTTTTCTCCTCAGAAATCCACCTTTGTTCTGATGCTTAGTGTAACTTAAAATGTGATATCCAAGAGCCTCCATCTTTTTTGTAGATATTTTATCAGTATAGAATGTTTAAAGATCTTATGTTTTAAGTCCATCGTACTTTAATTTTTAAAAACATTTTAATTCATCGTCTTTTGTGTCATTTACAGGTAATCACAGGGCCTCAGCTCCACCCCGGCATGACAGTGATCAGGACGCCCCTCCAGCAGTCAACGCTGGGAAAGGCAATTATTCGGACGCCTGTGATGGTGCAGCCAGGTACCCCTCCATCCAGCATGACCGCTTTTCATTTAAACAGCTAGTCTGGGAAACCTGTGTTACTCCGTATCTGGGCTGTACAAATTAGAAAATGCCGATTTTAATGAATAATTCAAACCATGCTGAATTTCTAATCCACTGCATATTGTATCCATAGATATTATTTTATTCTTGGCGTTGCTACTGAGAGAAAAATAAACTATGTTTATCAAAAATAAAAGAAACTAATACATGGAGTGTATACGTTCAGGCAATTCAAGTAAAGAAAACAAGCAAACGTTTGTATGGCAAAAGACAGTAAAGCAATGAAACAGCTAGGAAATGTGTAAAACAGACAGTGTAAAACAAAATTGCAAAGGAAATACCAGACTTCCGTTTATCACAGTTAATATGAATAGGGTTAAGCTGTCATGTTAAAAGTTGAGGGCTGTGAAGAATAAGTTTTTTTAAAAATTCGTACGTACTCATGAGACACTAAAAATCAAATTGCAGGGATAGCTTTAAAACGTAACCTACAAGGTGGTCAAAGACAATGATATAAAGGCCAAAGAAAGAAAGAAAGAAAGAAAGAAAGAAAGAACAATAATAGCCCTACTGATAATGGGAAGAGTAGAATTCAGTATTTACGAAAAGAAAAAAAAAACAGTTATGGCAGGAATTCCATTTTAAATTTGCTAGAAGCCAGGCATGGTAGTGCTCACCTTTAATCCCTCAAAAGTCCACCTTTGTTCTCATTCAGTATTCACAAAGCTGAGGCAGGAGGATCACTTCGAGCTTGAGGCCAGCCTGGGCAAACTAGTGAGTTTAAGGTCAGCCTGACCCACACAGCAAGACCCTATCTCAAAAAAAGTAATAATATTAATAATTAAAATTTAAATAAATAGGCTTAAAGACAAAGATTTCATTGAAAATGTACAGGATCTTGAGTTCTTATGAATTATTATTAAAGCACCTATAAAACTATTTAAAATCAAGCTGGCATTAAGAAGAGCATAGTAGACTACTGCGTATCAATATTTGTGTCTTCGGGAACGCACATTCGTTGTAAATATTTATGAGCTATATGTAGAAAAATAGTCTTAGAGCCATAGCTAAAACCTTAATAAATTGCAAAGAAGTGGGAATGTGTAATGGCCAGACTTTTAGACTAAAGATAGAAGTCAATATTTTAAGTTACGTAGTACTAATAACCTTTGCTTACTTGGAAATATTTTAAAGAATTAATGTTCTAAGTAACCTTTATATTACAGGAACCTCAATATGTAGTTACAAATTATCAGATAGCAACTTCCAATCATAACACTGAAGCTAAACTCAGAGGTAGACTCAGTTTATTTAACAAGCATTTGAACACCTAGTCTAGGTAGTTTAAATACATTGTTTAATAAAACTACCGAAAATCCACATTGTTTCCTTCTTTTTTTTTTTTTTTTTTTTGGTACCGGGAATTGAACTGAGGACCTTGTGCTTGCCAGGCAGGCACTTGTGCTGCTGAGCTATATCCCTGGCCCCTAAAAATCCATATTCTTAAGTCTATACAGAATTTAGAAAATGTATTTAAAAGTCTTAGGTAAAAAGGAGCAAAAAAAGAGCAAATAATATTAGAAAACAAAAAAAAGACAAAAAACATTCAGCCAATCCAGTCTGCTATAGCAAGACTCTTTGTTTGTTTAAGACAGGGTCCACTATGCAGGTCAGGTGGGCCTTAAACTCACTGGGTAGTCCAGAGGGGTTTCACACTCATGACACTCCTGTATCAGCCTCCAGAGTTCTGGGATTCAGGCATGCACTGCCACGCCTAGCTACAAGTCTAGTCTAGAGGGAGGAGAGAAAAATGGCCATTTCACAGAATTCAGAATGAGAAAGTACAATAAACATACAGGGAGCTTTTTTTTTTTAAAAAACACAAAGAGAATTCTGTATAGGTATCTTTGTGTTAAGACTTGCCAGAATTCTCACTATCCATACTTAGAAACCAAATCTATTTTAATAACAAGGCATAATTAAATCCTGTGCTTATAAATTCAAAGTCTCAGTGATTCATATCCAAGAAAGAGATTTGGAAATTTGCCATAGTATTCCCTCCTAAATAAGGGACCGGGGATATAGCTCAGTGGCACAAACACCTGCCTGGCAAATGCAAGGTCCCGAGTTCGATTCCTGGCACACACAAAAAACCAAAAACAAAACACCTACTAAACAGAATTTCAGTCATCCTGATTTCATGGGGTGAAATTTTTTTTTGTCTTTTTTTTTTTTTTTGAGACAGGCAGTTCAGGCTGGTCTTGAGCTCACTTTGTACCCCACCGGCCTCGAATTTGCAATGATCCTTCTGCCTCAGTCTCCTGAGTGCTGGAATTACAGGCATAGGACACCTCGCCCAGTTTGAAATTGTTTAAAGTGGGTAGGAAACAAATAATTTCCTTATAAAATAGTTCCAGGGCACAGGCAGAAAGACTCATAAAATATTTTCTATTAATTTTGCAGATACAGTACAAGTTTCACCTGAAATATGGCATAATTTTTCCTTTTTCTCACTTTAACACAAAGCAGTCTCCTGTGCTTACGCAGCTTTTGCCTCAGGGTTATTTCACCTAATGCTACAGAGATGATAAAATGCAGTATTTATTCTGTTTTAAAACTTAGGGTTACCAGTTAGTCAGATAACTAAAAGATAACTAATGAAAGAAGAAGATATAATCTATTGCTATTAAATGGTAATATTCTTAGAAAACTGAAGATGTTGGTAAAATTTCATATGAACTATAAACACTGCTAGCTAGCAGCCTAGGTGTACAGAGCCTTTGCTCCTTACCGCCTTCCACAGCTGTCGTTCCGTGGTCTGACGTCTGACTCACACGTGAGTCTGGACCTCCAGGCGCCCGGGCCTGGGGTCGTGCCGCTTTCCTCCTGAAGCCTCACATACAGTGCAGAGATGGGGTGTGTGCAGTGAGCTGCTCAGCTCCCCGCTTGGCCTCCTAGTACCTAAGGTCCTTTAGCCAGTCTACCTTTAAATAACGGGCTCGGCGGGGTGGGGTGGCGGTAGCAGCAGTAGCAGTGGTGGTGGTGGTGGTAGTAGCAGCTACCATATATTGATCATTTACTCTGTGGGAGGGTGTATAAACCTTCATTTAATTTTTATATAAAGTGGGTATTAATATTATCCCCAGCTCATAGATGAAGAAACTAAAACTCAGAATGTTGCATAATTTCTCAAAGTACTAACCCGGGTAGGACTCAGGCTAGATCTGTCTGCTTCCCAGTTCCAGATGTTCGTTTATTCATTGAACAAGTGCATGTCACTACTTGTGTGGCTGACACTGTTCCAGGCCCCTGCAATGGTAGTTGTGAACTAGTCAGACAGAACTACTGCCCTCATGAATCTTACAGCGCAGGGGGAGAGGTAGAGAAAAGCTAGAGAAATTCCTGTATGTATTTAAAAACATATCACTGTGCACAGTGATATGTAAATTTTACATATAACATGTGAACAGTAAATGCCTTGGAAAACGGAGGGGAAGGAGATAGCAGGATTGAAGAGCTCGAGTTTGGAAATGATTTGCAGGGGGTGTTGGATTTTAGAAAGGACGGCCAGGGAAGGGAAAATTTTAAGGCAAGGTCCGAGGCAGTGAGAGCTATGCCACTCCCTGGGGAAAGATTTTCACGCCAAGTCATTGTAGATGCAGAACCCTAGGTGGGAGTGGTCCAGATGCACTGAAGGAAAGTGGGGTGACAGTGAGGAGGACAAGGGCTGGGAGAGGCCAAGGAAAGGTGGGTGTGTCCGAGGTGTCTCCCCACTTCACGGGTCACGCTCACTTAGCTGTCTCCGAGCACCACATGACCTTTCTTAAAAGGGTCTCATTGGAAATTGACAACTTTTAAATTTGCGTTTTAATGCTAATCTAAAAGTAGTTTATACAGATTGGGTTATCTGAGTGACCGTTGTACAATCAGTGAGGACCAGTCCTTTGATCGATGCTTATGATAGCGATGCAACTGTACTAGGTGATCACCTAAATTAAAAACTTTACCTGCATTGTCCTGCAGAACCCAGAGACCCTCAGATTTAAAGCACTTGACCACACTGTGTCATTGGTTCATCTTGAAGGAATGAAAATAACCAAGAAAAATTTAAAAGGAGGCATAATGAGGAAAACCTAGCAGTGCCAGTTTTTAAAGCATATTATGTGAAGTCTGAGGAGCGTGATACCAAAGGAAATTATACAGATAGATACGGGGCCAGGGATATAGCTCAGCGGCATAATCGCTTGCTTGGCAAGCGCAAGGTCCTGAGTTCAATTCCCGGTACCAAAAAAAACAAAAATAAAAAAGTATACAGATAGATACAATTGAAGAGGCATTATAGCCAGGCGTGGTGGTGCACGCCTGTAATCCCAGCATTTGAAAGGTTGAGGTAGGAGGATTGCCGTGAGTTTGAGGCCAGCCCATGCTACATAGTGAATTAAAGCCAGCCTGAAATACATAGCGAGACGCTATTTAAAAAAAGAAAGCATTATATATGAGAATTTGTTGTGTGACAAAGGTGTCATTTTGAATAACAAGTCATGGTAGAATAATTGGTTTATAGTTTGGGAATTTAAAACTTGGCTTATACTGGGGGGTATAATGACTCACAACATGGAGTACATGATAATCTAGAACATACTTTTAAGTATACATCTGATGAGAGAACGCAAGAATACAGGAGAGGGCCAGGGATACAGCCCAGCAGCACAAGCGCCTGCCTGGCAAGCGCAAGGTCCTGAGTTCGATTCCCAGCACCAAAAACAAGTAAACAAAAAGCATACAGGAGCGCTTTATAAGCAATAATTAAAGCCCGCCCTCCCCCAAAAAAGACTGATCTATTTGGTCACATAAAAAATATTTAGAGATTTAGAAGTAAATAAAATTTTAAAAAAACATTATTTGAAAATGCATACTGGGGTTGGGCGAATAGCTCCGTGTTTGAGCGCTTGCCTGGCACGTGCACGCCCTGAGGGGAAGAGCAAAGAAGTAAAAGTGCACAGCGGCAGAGTGTGGGGAGGGAATTCAGAGTGCAGAAATGAAGCACATGCGCTGGGACCATTCTAAATCCTCACTTTCCGTTACAAAGGAGGAAGTCCAGGCGCTGATGCCGTGAGATCATTTCTGCTTGCTGGGCTGTTGTGGGGTCAGTGAGGTAGGCCCTCAGAGTTAGTGCGAGTGTGAATGGGACTGTTACGTTTCTACTCTGAACTCACTAGTATTTTGTGACAGCCGCTCTAAGGAGATCATTAGAAGCACATAAAAATTTACAAGCAGTGATTTCACCCTACAGTATTTTAATGAAGAAAAAGTATTTTGAATGTGAAAACAGCCTCGGTTTCATCCATGTGGAGCGATATGAGATGCCACTTAGCCGTTAAAGATCCGCATGGAGAGAGCTGCATTCACGGAAGGAAGACGGGCCCTACTTACCAGCTAGTAATGAGTCTGTGCGGGTCAGATTAGCCACCATATCGTTATTCCTACTAATGGGGAGAAAACTCCCCATTGCTTCTGGTTCCGGCAGGTGAAAGGAGAACGGGAGACGTTAGAGAACTGCAGAGCCACCTCACTGACATCTCTCACTTAGCAGACGTTTGCTGACCGATGGCCGTGAACGCAGCCTTCGAGTACTTGCCCCAGCATGCGGGTACAGGGGTGCTTCCCTCGGGCTTCTCCACACTCCCTGTCACAGGATTAGAGAGAAGTTTGTTTGTAAATGAAGTTGGCCCAGGGTGATGAGAATACTTCATATTTTGGTAAAATTCCAGTAAATTTATTATATACCTAATTATTGCCCCATCTTTACTGTATTTCTAAGAAAAGACAACCACACAAAAGGCATGTTCGTGTATTCTCTTTTGTCTTTCCTGTCATCATTTTGGATTCGGGTTTGTAGGAAGAGTATTATTTTTTCACTGTGCTACAGTCAGCAGGAAGAGCTGGCTCATGGCTGTCAGCAGGCCTAACGGAAACAGACTCACTGTCACCCGGGCAGGCCCTTTGGGTCCATGTCTTTGAACACTGGAAAGAATACATTCATCCGAGGTGTTGAGTTATTGTAATTCAGGGTCCTGCCAGGGCGCATGGGCATTCAGGGCGTTCTGCTGTTCGTCCAGGTGCTCCTCAACAAGTGGTGACACAGATCATCCGAGGCCAGCCCGTCTCCACTGCAGTTTCTTCCTCAAGCACCACTCCCTCCACGCCTGGGCAGAAAGGCTTAACTTCAGGAACATCCACTCCAAATCCGCCGTCTTCAGCGCCTCAGCCACCTCGCCCCCAGCAGGGACAGGTGAAGCTAACCATGGCTCAGCTCACACAGTTAACGCAGGGCCACGTAAGTAGTATGACTTCATTTTAACTTTATCCTCTTTTTTTTGTCTTTTTGAGACAGGGTCTTGCTGTGTAGTTCAGGCTGGCCTTGAGCTCACTTTGTAGCCCAGGCTGGTCTCGAACTCGCAACGATCCTCCTGCCTCAACCTCCAGAGTGCTGGGATTACAGGCATATGCCACCACACCCGGCCTGAGTTCATTTTAACTTTAGAGGCCACCTTACTTATTTTTGCTGTAAGTTTTAAAATGTACTTATTTGGGAACCTTAAGATTTTGTTTGTGTGTTTGTTTTGGGTGGGTTTTGTGTGTGTGTGTGCTGCAGAGGAGCTTGCTGGGCCTCGTGCATGGTAGAGAAGCTCTGTACCACTGAATTACATCTCCTGCCCCTATTTTGATAAGTTTAAAAAGGTACTTATTTACCAGCTGTGGTAGCAAATAGCTGTAATGTCACACTCTGGGAAGCTGAGGCAGGAGGATTGTGACTTCCAGCCCAGCCTGGGCAATTTAGCAAGACCCTGTCTCAAAAAATAAGAAAGGGCCAGGAATGTACCCAGGCACAAAGGCTCTAGGTTCAATTTCCAGAATCAAAAAGAAAAAAGTGTACTTATTTTAGAAAATGGCTGCTTCTTGGAATCAAACAAGAGTACTTCTTATGGGCAAGATAATGTGAGTCCCAACTAGAGAGTCCTTGGATGGGTTACACCAGTGAAATACATAATCCTTTCAGGCACCCAGATTTTATTAGTTGTCCGATTTCCATGAGAAAAATAAAATTTGAGTACATTAGGCTGCTTCCTTGCACAATGCAGTTTTTTTTTATCAAGTCTTCCACTGTTGAGCGATAAATGCAGTTTCCATCAAAATCTTTTTCATGTGTGGAACTTCACAAGCTGATTTTTAAATTATGTTTTAGATAAAACTTTACATAAAAGTTGAAAGGATCGAGAATAGCTATTAAAGAACAGGAGGATTTGCTCCTGTGTGCGATGAATACCCTGCTGTGGGGCTGCTGGGGTGCCGCACTAACGCGCTCAGCGGGGAGCCGAGGCAGAGGTGCACGGGCAGGCCGACGGGCGTGCAGAACGGCCTCCGCTCGTGGCAGCTCTGCTGCCTGACAGGGCGGCCCTGGAGACCACCGAGGAAAGGGTGAACTTCAGGAAGGACACTGGGCCAACTGAATGTAAAGGAGAAGTGGTGAAACTGAGCCCTTGCCACATTCTGTAGATTAACTCAGCTCTAGGAGGACAGCTATCATGCTTTCAGAGGTAAGATAGGGTGTCTTCATAGTTTTCTTTAAATAGAAAACACTAACCACAAAGGGAAGGATTTGTAAATTCCCCTTAATTAACAAAAACCTTCACACCAGGTATAGTGGCACACGCCCATTATCCCCAGTACTCAGGAAATTGGGGCAGGAGGATCACAAGTTTGCGTCTACCCAAACGAGACACAGTCTCCAAATTTTTTTTTAAGGGCTGGAGATGGAGCTCAATGATAGAACACTTGCCTAGCACATGTGAGGCCCTGGTTCAATCCCTACCACTGCCAAAAAATAACAACAGCAATAAAAACATCTACCTGTGAGATGAGTCTAAAATCTCCAGCAAAACCAAGAATAAGCAAATAGGAGGAGCAGAATGAACTATAATATACAACTGATAGGAATATAACTCGGCGACCCATTTTGAAAACCTTGTGGGTATGACCTAGTACAGCTGAAGGTGTGCACGCCTCAGGCCCCAGTAGTTCTCCTTCTAGATACAGCCACAGAGAAATGCTTACTCCTGAGCACCCAGATAATGTTGGTACAAATACTCACAGCAGCGTAAGTCAAACTTTCAGAACCGCCTCAATGTCCATCCACAGTCGGGTAAGTAAACTGTGGTGTAGTCTCACGGTAGTAAGTAATCATAGACTTTGCACACAGCTGTACAAAAACTCCACAGGGAATTCTCACAAACAAAACAATGAACTGTAACCCGGGTGTGGTTGTAGTCCCAGCACTTGGTTGGCTGAGACAGGAAGATCACTGCAAGTTCAAGGCCAGCCTCAGCTACATAGTGAGTTAAGGCCATTTTGAACTACGTAGTGAGATCCTGTCTCAAAAAACAAAATAAAAAATACCGAGCTGAAGACACATATAACACACACACACACACACACACACACACACACACAAACATACATACATTCCATTTGTACAAAATGCAGAAACAGGCAAAACTAAGCTGTGCTGCACAAAGCTGCATCAGTTTACCTGGGAGTGTGGGGCCGGGTGTGAGACTCCGTGTCCCTTACACTGTGCTCTTTGTAAATGGGCTCCTGCAGCCGGGACTCTCAGCGGCCCTATAGAGATGCAGAGCCCCGTGAAAATGCAGCGTTGTCGTGGGAGTGCACACGGTGCGCACCTCTGGGGAGCGGAGGGAAGCGAGGCCAGGGTGCGTTGCAGAGTGTTTCAGAAAACTAGAAGTAAGAAAGTTGGAGAGACTCACGAGTATGTGGGGCTCAGGACGGGGACTGCACGACGTCAGTTTTCACCGCCGGCTGTTGGAGGGTTGTTTCTCTTTTGCTTTTTAGTTCTCTACACAGGTCCCGGCAGTCAAGCTTACTAGTTAATAGTGCGCGGAGTCAGGGAAGTTAGTCTGTAGCCAATGGCCTGCTTTCACACTTGGTCTTTTACTATAAACTACCCATACAGCAGATCACCCCGTCTGCTGGCTGGACACTCATTACTACTGAGCTCTCAGTGACAGAAAACTCTCTCCCAGTATCTGTGAAGAGAAAATGTAACTCCAAACACTATTAGGAAGTTGCTTTATGGTAGAGAAATGCATTCCAAAAACCTATGTGGGAGAAAGCAGACAAGAAAGTAGCACTTTTCTTTATCACCCAATTTGATCCCACGCATGTTGGAATCAGTCTCATTGGCGTTGCTGTTTGGGAGATCTGTCGGCTGAAAGTCGCTCTGGCTGTTGGCCCTTCCTCTGAAGGGACTCAGCCTTTGTCACCTGAGTTTCTTTTTTTCTTGCCCTGCTGGGAATCAAACCCACATGCCAGTCAGATACTCTGACACTAAGCTAAAACACTCAGCCCTCTCACTTGAGTTTCTTAGGTGGGAATAAAATTATAATAATACTTGTTATTTCACTGGGTCTCAAGTTATTATTATAAAATTATAATAATACTCTGTTATTTCACTGGGTCTCAAGTCCATCCACTGTGAGCATTAAATGAGGCAATATATATGAAGGTGATTTTTAAAATACAAAATAATACGAATTTAAGGCAGTTTAAAATCAGAATTTAGCTGGGTGTGGTGGCGCACGCCTGTAATCCTAGCACTCGGGAGGCTGAGGCAGGAGGATCGATATGAGTTCGAGACCAGCCTGGGCTACAAAGTGAGCTCAAGGCCAGCCTGAACTGCATAGAGAGACCTTGTCTCACAAAAGACAATTAAAAGAAAAAAAAGCAGAATTTGGTGGAAACTACAGTCACTCACTTCAGTGCTCTTACATATATATTGAGACTTCTGGATCTGGAAGTATGGCGCTGCTTGTAGAGAGATACAGCGCACAAACTCCATTTATTGCACAGCTCTGGAAAGCACGGCCACGTGTGCATTGTGTGTGAACGATGGCCGCGTCTGTCACCTGAGGCAGAGTTTTCAAACAAAAGCTTTCGGGGACCGAGATACCACTGGGCCTCTCCGCCTGTGTGGGGAACTTGAGCTGGAGCTCGGGGTCATTTGTGCCTTTTCGCACTGAACGGCAGGATCCTCTTATTCTAGGTTACCTACATTCCTTTTATGTCAGCCCGCGGAGAGATGGAGATATGTGTGTACAGATTTTTTTCTTTCTGTTAATCTTTATGCCATACGAATGATTCAGCTGAAATGTTTTACAGGTTGTTGCTTTGGATACTACATGTGCATGTTTTATCCACAGGGTGGCAATCAGGGTTTGACAGTAGTAATTCAAGGACAAGGTCAAACTACTGGACAGTTGCAGCTGATACCTCAGGGGGTGACCGTACTCCCCGGGCCAGGGCAGCAGCTCATGCAGGCTGCAATGCCGAATGGTACTGTCCAGCGATTTCTCTTCACCCCGCTGGCAACTACAGCCACGGCCGCCAGCAGCACCACCACGACCGTCTCCACCACGGCAGCAGGTAGGCCCTGGAGTCGGTTGAAGGACGGACGTCACTGCCACTCCTTGCTGGGGACGGGAGGACCAGTGCTTCCTGCAGGAGGCTGCGCCTCAGCCCTTGAGCTCGACCGTTGGCAGAGCCAACCTCACAGCGTCTCGGTGTTTTCATGCCTTGTTTCTGCAGCGCCCTTGTCTCCGCTCCTTCCCGTGCGTGTGCGTGCGCACAGTGTGTGTAAAGATGGGGTGCAGTAAAGGCTGTCATGGTAACTGCTGATGCTTCCCAAGCCTGGTAGGCACGGATGGAGCTACGAGGATAATCTCAGGGCCGGCAGATACGTCCAGCCCAGAGCCTGCAGTTGAGCGCTGCAGGTCCAGAGCGATCTGTTAGCCGCTGGCTGCAGTGCAGTTACGGTTGAGTGCCGGCGCGGCTCATTTTCAGTGTGCTTTGCTGTAGAGGCCAGCCCTCCGGAGAGGTAGAGATGGACACAGAGGGCGGCCAAGGAGCAGGCTCCAGCTCCCTCATTCCTTAGAGTTCCAGCGTGAGCGTGCCTAAGTAAAGCATTTCAAAAGTTTAAATCTCTACTGAAATACAGAATTCTCAGCTTTAGGGAAGTGTCCTTCAGATTCCGCTTGAAGCACAGGCTGTGTTCCAGAATAATAAGAGTTGATTTGTCTTTCCTTTCCACAGGATCAGGGGAACAGAAACAGAGTAAATTGTCGCCCCAGACACAGGTGCAACCAGCCAAACCCCCGCCACCAGATCAGCCACCAAGTGTGAGTCCTGCAGAAGCCCAGCCACAAACTGCTCAGCCTCCAGCGCAGCCCCAGCCCCAGCCCCAGCCCCAGCCCCACTCCCCAGCTCCGCCTGAAGCTCAGACTCAGCCGGAAGTTCAGACCCACACAGCTGTTCCGCCCCTCGTCCCTTCCGAAGCACAGCCAACCCAAGCACAGTCATCCAACAGACCCCAGGTTGCAGCACAGTGTCAGCCTCAGAGTAATGTCCAAGGACAGTCTCCTGTGCGAGTCCAGAGCCCACCACAGCCTCGGATACGTCCGTCGACTCCATCCCAAGTGTCTCCCGGACAGCAGCCCCAGGTTCAGACTACAGCCTCACAACCGCTTCCAATTCAGCCACATACATCTCTCCAGATCCCTTCCCAAGGCCAGCCACAGCCACAACCCCAGGTACAGTCTTCAACTCAAACTCTTTCATCAGGACAAACGTTAAATCAAGTTACTGTTTCCGCCCCACCTTGTCCTCAGCTACAAATACAGCAGCCGCAGCCCCAAGTCATTGCTGTGCCTCAGCTGCAACAAGTCCAGGTTCTCTCTCAGATCCAGCCGCAGGTTGTGGCTCAGATACAGGCTCAGCAAGGTGTTGTGCCCCAGCAAATCAGACTGCAGTTACCTGTTCAAATTCAGCAAAGCAGTGCTGTGCAGACTCACCAGATTCAGAATGTGGTTACAGTGCAGGCAGCCAGTGTGCAAGAGCAGTTGCAAAGGGTTCAGCAACTCAGGGATCAGCAGCAAAAGAAGAAGCAGCAACAGATAGAAATTAAGCGTGAACACACCCTCCAAGCTTCTAACCAAAGGGAAATCATTCAGAAACAGGTAAAGTCATGAAGTCAAAGCAGCATGTTCAGTAGCTTGAATTATTGTGCTGTGCGATAGACTTAGTGCTTGGTTGTATTAGGTTTCCTGAATGAGTCACAGTTGTTGATGTTTAAATTCAGAAGCAGCCCTGGATGGACCAGAAACACTGAACACCTCCAATGGTTTGAAACTCTTCTCTTGATATATAGAGTCAAGTGCTTGTTAGAAACGGTGTAGCTGGACGTGGTGGCGCATGCCTGTAATCCCGGCACGCGGAGGCTGGGGCAGGGGGATCGCCATGAGGTCTAGGCTAGCCTGGGGTACATAGTGAGTTTGAGGCCAGCCGGAAGTACAAAGTGAGACCGTGTCTCAAAAAACAAACAATAACCAAAAGGAAAAAGAAGAAAAGAAACGATCTATATTTTGGGAGAACCAAGATGGGAAGAATGGAGTTTGGAGTTTAAGTATCACTAATGCAAAACTTGAACGTGTAACAAAGTCCTAAAGCCACTTCAGGCTGTAGCACTTCATTTGAAGTTACTTGCTGTTCCTTAGTTTGCGTGTAGACTAAGGCTAAGCAGATTGCAGGCAGACTAAATTCATTTGCATTTCCAGCCACATTTTTATAAAAGTGTTTAAAATATATATTCTTCTTAGCTTAAATAAAAAGTGCCATTATGCAGGGACTTTTGCAGTGCTACTTAAGTGAAGTAAGGTAATTTAGATGAGTTAGAATCACTGTACTAAAACAGACACCATAGTACAACCTATGGCGTTACTGGAGAATACTTCCTTTTTATCAGCAGCGTGCTCTGCTCAGCACGAGGCAGGAGCTTGAGTGTGGGTTTCAAGTGTTACCAAGTCAGGAGACTCCCTTGTCTCCCCTGATCTGTAGCCTTATTAAAACTCCTCTCTCCCCAGCCACATGTAATCATTTTGATGATTACATGGGTCATGTGTGTGATTTTAAAGATGTAAGGTAACATCCCTGTAAAATTTAATACGTTACGCGTCCACGTGCACTGTCACCTAGCTTTCAGCACTCTGTGATCTGTACAATGAGGTATTCTGGTACCTTCCTTCCTAATCTTCGCAAAGGAGGGGTGGGAAAGCAAGTCTTTAAAATTAATGCCTGAGAAGAGAGCATAACATAAAAACAGCCTTTGGAGCATGATAGTTGAGTGGAAATTCTGGCTGAATTACTCACTACTTAATCTCAGACCAGTTGGTTAATTTCTTTCTCTCATTGTTTATCACATTACATCTGTGGTCCAGTGTTGTCATGAGAAATAGGTGAAATGTCGTCGAGTACCTAAGGCGGTGCCGAGAGCGTGGTAAGCACCCAGGCACACTTGGCAGCTGCTAATGTAATTTCATTTGTTTCAATAATGTAAAAATCTTACCATACCTTTGGAAAACGTGTGCTCTGACTTCTGCTACTATTTTCTGTGTACTAACTGTAGTTGTAAAATGTGCGCTTTTGGATTTGTTCTGTTCTAAAGGTGGTGATGAAGCATAATGCTGTAATAGAACATTTAAAACAGAAAAAGACCTTGACTCCCACTGAAAGAGAAGAGAATCAAAGGTAGGGAGAAACATAGGGCCTTGCTGTGTGTTGGTCCCTTTTCTCTAGCCTGCCACGCACGAGAGTTGTAAGTTTGTGTATTTTTATCTCGGTAGAAGTTTGCTAAGTAAACTGGGGCACAAGTAGCTCCTGACGGGTTCCGTTACTGTTTGCAGCCTGAGTCACAGAAAGCTTGCGTGGCGCCCGTAGGGACCTAGACGCCTCGTGTAACCCTTTCAGAGTGAAACGTCCAGCATTACATAGGTTGTATATTTTTCTCTAGAATGATTGTATGTAACCAGGTGATGAAGTATATTTTGGATAAGATAGATAAAGAAGAAAAACAGGCGGCGAAAAAACGGAAGCGTGAAGAGAGCGTGGAACAGAAGCGGAGCAAGCAGAATGCTACCAAGCTCTCTGCGCTGCTTTTCAAACACAAGGAGCAGCTCAAAGCCGAGATCCTGAGAAAGAGAGCGCTCCTGGACAAAGAGCTGCAGATCGAGGCGCAGGTGAGCGTGCGCCCGGTCCGTGCCGGGGTTTTCTGTCTTGCCTCGAACATTTGGGTAAGCCTAAAATTTCAGCCTTTGCCCCCCAGAATTTACAGTTCTGTACATGTAGTACATTGACTAAAAAGCAAGTCTTTTGAAACAAGATAGAGCTTTTCTAAGTGTGTATTTTTAGGTATTTTGAGAATGTGTTTTTGTGTATTCTCTGGCCATTCTGAGGTTAATCCCTTCATCAAAATGTTTACTACTTTTTGTTTGGATACCTTTTATGATCTGTGCCAAAGGTTGTCTGGAACTGTGTTTTATATAAGAAGACAAGAAATCTGCAAAGTATAAGAAATAAAGTGTGCCCATTTAAATTTACCCCCTAACTTGTAACTGATTCTGTAGGGCAGCATTACAGATCTTTTACTTTCTTTGGAAATTATTTAAAAAGTGAAAGGAAGAGCCGGGCGTGGTGGCACACACCTGTAATCCCAGCACTGGGGAGGCTGAGGCAGGAGGGTCATTGCTCGTTCAAGGCCAGCCTGGGCTACAAAGTGAGCTCAAGGCCAGCCCGAACTGCATGGAGATTGGAACTCGTATTTCTCAGTAGGAGCTCTTTAGCCTTGGGTGCTCTCGGTGATATAAACAGCCCTGTGTGGCACTCGTGCCATAGGTTCATCGCTGCTGCTGTGGGAAGTCCCAGTGCCAGCCCAGCTGGGTGGAAGACATGGGGTCTCCACAGAATGGACTTCCACTTTCCAAGATAGTGTGAAATACTGTTTGGCTTTAAATTCTTCAGGAAGGGCCGGGGTATAGCTCAGCGGCACAGCGCCTGCCTGGCAAGCGCAAGGTCCTGAGTTCAATTCCTGGTACCTAAACTAAATTAATTAATTAATTAATTGGTCCTTGGGAAAAATTCTCAATGATAAACGCTCAGACAGAAAATGTAGGCTGTAGAATAGTACATGTCGTGTGGTGTGTCCATTCAGTTCATTCAACAAATATTTATTTGGCATTTAAGCCTCATCACACTGTCCCTGCTCCCCAGTCTGCACAAAATAGGGGAACCTGTGGCTTCAACCTTTATATATAAATAAACTGGTTGTGTGCATTGAAGAATTTTCAGATGAGCTCTTTAATGATAAAATAATAAGTAAGAGAATGCGAAGCTGGGCCCGTTGGTACACGCCTGGAGTCTCAGCACCGGGGAGGCTGAGTACAGCAAGACGAGCTCAGGGCTGAATTCTGCCTGGGACCGAATGCGGCGGTGCAGCTCAGGGCAAGGACTGGTTCACTCCCCAGTACTACACCCAAAACAAGTAACTCCACCACAACATCTTCCATAGTCTATCTTTCTTAGGTAATTTTAGACCATGTTTTGTTATTTTTATGTAAGTATTCATATTAAAGACATTTTATATAGAAAGAGAATCTCATGAGGATGAAAATTTTTAAATTAAGAAAGAAAATATGTAGTGCATGCCTGTAATCCCAGCACTTAGGAGGCTGAGGCAGGAGGATTACGAGTTCAAGGCCAGCCTGGGCTATATAGTGAGTCCAGGTCGGCCTGAACTACAGAGGGAGACCTTGTCTCAAAAAAAAAAAATAAATAAAATGGTAGCCTGTAATCCCCACACTGAGGAGCCTGAGGCAGGAGGGTTGTCCTGAGTTCAAAGCCAGCCTGGAAGACATACTTAAAGGTCAGTCTGAACTACATAACAGAACCCTGTCTCAAAAAAAAAGAAATTGCAAATGAACAGTAGGACAGGGGCTGTCACTCTGTGTGAAGGCCCTGGGTTCAGGTCCTGTTACCACCACCACTGTCCCAATTCCTGGTCATGATTTTACTGTATAAGATACGTGATTGATTCTTTAGCTGCCTCATCTTACAATTTTTCTGCTTGTGTTTCTTTTTGAGTAGGGTTTATTTTTATAGCCGTTAGGTGTTTATAGAAAAATGGGTGCAGAAGGTGCAGTGTTCTCACCCACTTCCTCCCCACAGTTTCCCCTGTTGTTACTGCGGCACTTTTTAAATCGATGAACCAGTATTGATGACTTGTTATCACCCAGGGTCCTCGATTACGTTCCGCTTCACTCTGTGTTCTAATGTAAACTTTCCAAGGCCGCAACCCGCCAGTGCCGTACCTACAGGATAGTTACACCGCCCTCGAAACAGCGCCCCACCTGCTGTGTCCTCCTCCTCCACCATGAGCTTGTTCTTGATAAAATAATTCCGTGTTCACTTTTTCTTTCTTTCTTTCTTTCCTTCTTTCTTT